CCCTGAAAAATATAAAGTAAAAACGACATGCCTTTGACACTTTCATGGTTAAGAATCTCTTAATAATTAAATACCCCCGCCGCAGCAAACCTGCAGACTAAGCGAATTTCAACTTGTCTGATTACATTTTTACTAAAATATTTCCATAAATAAGACATATTTATTCCCAATTTAAATAACATTAGATTTAACAAGTGCTTAGGTTTGCTGCTACGGGGAAGGTAAAACGTGTTTTTTGCCATATGTCAATAGTATAGGATGAAATAAATAAATTTGCCAAATTTTATCATTATATATCCATGAACAAGTAAACTACAACAGTTTTCATTTTCTCCATAAGAATAACATGGCAATTTTAAATTGCACTTTTTTTATTTTCTCCATGACTCTTAGGCATACAACACCGCTTCAATATACTAAATTATTTCTTTTTTTAAGCTCTACAAAATGGTTCAGGAAGAAATTGCAAAATTTTTTTGTTTTTAGGGTAAAAAATGGGAAAAACCCATTTTTACCCCATAAAACCCCCCATAAACCCCTGTTCCCATTGTCCGATTATGCTGGTTCGCGAACTCGTTCAAATAAACGTATGTTTACACGTTTGTACCAAATTTCATCAAAATCGGATCATTTTTGCTCGAGTTATCGCGCTAACGGACACATATATAAATAAATATATATATATATATATATATATATATATAAATATATATATATATATATATATATATGAATTTGAACGGATGGTGTTTTTGGTCTCTGGGACCTCAAAACGAAAAAGTAAATCGGTCCCGGGTCTAGGTCTTACCATGAGACCTACGGTAATAGCTTATTCCCTATATGGGAAATTCGCTAAAAGACTCTTGCAAGGAGAATCTGTACCATAGAACTCCCTATAATTGAATAAACTCTAATTTTGACTTCACACCACGGTATAAAACTGGAAATTCTTTGTGTGATTGGAAACAGAATCGATTCTTTATAGATTCCAATATTGAAATTACTCTGATGAAAGTAAGTTGTCCTATTTGCACCAATGAGAGGAGAGTAATTAACACAGGAAGGGATGACTATAAATAATCTAACTGGAGATATCAGCTAGAGCCACGGAATACGACTTTCCCCTTCAAACTTGGCGCATTAAAACTTCGACTGCGGAATCAGGAGAATCACTGCGTGCCGCGATCAGTGGGAAACGCCCCCCATGGCTGAGCATGAAGAAAACGTTTAACATATTTTTCCTACAGTTACCTGACAAACTGGTTTTTTTCACGCTTACATGGAATTAGACAATATAACTGGAAGAGACAATATTTGATTTAGAATTAACAGTTGAAATGAAGCTACACATTTTGACAGGTAAAGTAAAACAGACAGGCCTAGTCTATTAAATAGCTGTGACATAAAACATTGACATTGAAAATCATAATCCTCGTGAAACGGAACTCAAACCAATTGAAAACATTGCATGTTTTACTGTTTTATATTAACTTGTCAAAGCGTGTTTACTTTTATTAGAATCACCCAAATATGTTTTGTATGGGAGAAGTTTGTCTGCTTCGCAACTGGGTATAATCACATAAAAGGTAAACAATTTGTTCAACTGTAATATCAAAATGTAACACCTGACTTTCTCGAATTATCTATATTAACTCATTCAATTCCTGGGGCATGTTTCATAAAAACAATAACAAATATGCCTAATATTAGTCTTGTAATATACATAACTGAAATTTTGTTTCATAACAGGAAATTACTAATTTATAGTCTATTTTATAATTTACTAGCTGGCCCGACAGACGCCGTCCTGTCCTATGCTTTTATGTCAAATGCTTGTTCATTTTCAAGATCCTGGTTGAAGTTCGTTCGCTACGCTCACTCACCTTTTGGTTGCAAATTAGCTGTTGTCATAAATTTAAAAAAATATAATTGTGCTGCCCCCTGTTGGTAAACTTATTAACTTTTAATGCTATTGAACATCACAGAATCAAATTGCTTAGTTAAACCAGCTGTTAATTTTCTTTAATTCCATTTAAATATGAGTACTCATAAGGTTAACATGGGAAACTCCAGAGCCACTGGGGCGGAGCCCTTTTGACGGATCTGCACCAAACTTTACACAAACCATCATTGAATAATGCTTAATAATGCCTGAAAGTTTCATTACAATCTGTCGAGCGGTTTCGGAGTCCATAAAGGGCAAACATACAAACAAACATACATTGGATTTTATATATATAGATTCAGGCAATGAACCTATTCTGTATGTACTACATGAAAGAATGTTATGTACAAATAAAATATATCTTTATCTATGAGTTGAAAGTTAAAGATTTACAAAATTTGGTAAATTTAAATTTAGTTTTTGTAAAATTTGATCAGCTATATTGTATTTTATTGTTTTCAATAATCTGTAAAAAAAACTATCCTCCATGAAGAGTTATAGTAATATTAAAACCATGGTTAATCGAGTGATCAAAATCCATCTTTCAAGACAAAATTCTCCAGCCCGATCTAAAAAGCGTTCCATGCATAGCGTCAACATATGCTAGCCTCGGAGTAATTTAGTTTATCATCTATAAACCTACTGTATATTAGTTTCGTCAGCATGAAAACTGGAGGACGATGTAAAATTATTACTGCCACCCTTCTGAAAGGGTCATGTGTTCACCCTCCCATCGTAAAGCCCGGGCCAGCAAACGCCGCGGGGTCCAATCAATGGGCAAAGAGTTTCAAAATACCAATTAAAAATATAATTTTCGACTTCTGTTGGCCTACTTTGTTGAACAAAATGCGTTGTTTCTATCAACTTTGAAATAGTTTGAATAAATTAAAACTTTTTCTGTAATTTAATACCAAAAATGAAAATTGTATTACTACTACACCATGATTAATTTCAACGAATTAATGAAAAATATATAACGATAAAAAAGGATATTAGATCCTAGCTTCTTTCTTAAATGAATAAGAAAAAAGGTTTGCAAACCATTTTTTCGACTAACCATTCTTGATGCATTAACTAAGACTAGAATTGGATAAAAACACTACACGACATAAAAACAAACAATTTAAATCTATGTTTATTAATGAAGCTGTGCTCTAGCACTGCGAGTTAAAGCAGCAGGAGTTGGTCATGCATAATTGAACCATGATTGATGTATACGAAAGGCTGCATGCGATTCCAAAAATGTACTGTCCACGAAATGATTAGGCTACATTTAAATAAATTAGCAAATTAATAATTTATCCAAATTTTCCAAATTTTTATTTATCCAATGAGGTAGGGAAAACTCGGTTGAAGGTCAAAAGTCTGCACGTTAAAAATAAATAAGCATTTAGCCTATTTAATATATAACAAACATTGGTAGGGGAATTGATCATAATAAAAGTGGTGACTTGTTATCAAGATTAGCTTACTACCAAGGATAACTTAATATCGAGATTAGCTTGCTACCAAAGGTGACATGATATCTAGATTAGCTTGCTACCAAGGGTGCCTTGATATCAAGATTAGCTTGCTACCAAGGGTGACTTGATATCAAGATTAGCTTGATACCAAGAATAACTTAATATATAGATTAGCTTGCTACCAAGGGTGACTTAATATCAAGATTAGCTTGCTACCAAGGGTAATTTGATATCGAGGTTAGCTTGCTACCAAAGGTGACATGATATCTAGATTAGCTTGCTACCAAGAATAACTTAATATATAGATTAGCTTGCTACCAAGGGTGACTTAATATCAAGATTAGCTTGCTACCAAGGGTGACTTAATATCAAGATTAGCTTGCTACCAAGGGTAATTTGATATCGAGGTTAGCTTGCTACCAAAGGTGACTTAATATCAAGATTAGCTTTCTACCAAGAATAACTTAATATATAGATTAGCTTGCTACCAAGGGTGACTTAATATCAAGATTAGCTTGCTACCAAGGGTGACTTAATATCAAGATTAGCTTGCTATCAAGGGTAATTTGATATCGAGGTTAGCTTGCTACCAGGGGTGACTTGATTTCGAGATTAGCTTGCTACCAAGGGTGCCTTGATAAAGATTAGCTTGCTACCAAGGGTGACTTGTTATCTAGATTAGCTTGCTACTAAGGGCGAACTAATATCGAGATTGTCATACTTTTAAGGGTGATATAGTTGTCATCATCAAGATTGACCTGCTATAGACTAGGTTAATATAAGTTTAAACCATCGTAGAATCCATAATTAAAATAGCCTATCTACCATGCGCAGCCATGTACCATCATTTTGTTGATGGCAAGAAGCACTGACTAATAGCGTTTTGCCGAGGTCAATTTTTATTTAATAATAAAACTTGACTAGATAACCATTTGTGATCAAATATTGATTAAAAACAACATTCAATACGAAGAAGAGAACACACCAGTTGACAATGGATTGCCGATACAAAACTAAATAAATAAAAATGTTTAGCAAGTGTTTTTCAGATACGATTTAGTTTTTCAAAACAACATTTTGTCACAAACAATGAATATTAATGTAGTAAGGTCTGTGTCCAATTATTAAAATAAATATGAAAACTTGTACTCTGTCATAAAGTATTAAATATTCAGTAGATTATTTTTAAAACGAAAAATTACATTAGTGTTCACTAGTTAGGAATGATTTTAGATAGCTAATTTTGTGTATTTGTTTTTTAATCTATAAAACATTAGGGTTGGAATCATAAATTAAATTCAAATTTCTATTAAATATATCACTTTACTGTGCATAAAATTTAGTTAACGAAATGGTTAAGATTTAACAAAGAATTAGTCATTTATAATTGTTATATTTAATAGAAGATATCGTTTTAGTAATTGATGATTTATTGTCATTTATTTTTAGCTAAGCAATAAGGGCCTACACGTATTGAGAATAAAATCAAAAACGCACACATTCAATTTAATGATAAAAATCTCTGAACCTTAAGTGATTAATCGTGTAGAAATATTTCACACAAAAGCTACCAGCAATAGGGGATGACTCACCCTTGTACTAACAGCTACTTCCACGGGGTTTCACACTCAATGCAGCCACAGCACAAAAACTGCAATAATACACTGACAACACAGTAAAACAAACAACAAGACTACATCCTTTGAATAAAGCCGCACAAAACGATTAGAAAAAACACGAATTTTCCCTTCACCGTCCGAACTTGAAACTGACAAGAACACGGACAACAATGCGCATGACTGATTAGTGATCTGCAGAGCTGCCAACTACGCGGAGTGAAATTTCCCCTCGGAAAAATACTTTGTATGCAATTTTTTTGCATTTCCATATTACACACTGAATAATAGTTAATAATAGTTTATTAATAGTGTATAGTTAATAGTTTATAATGCTGACTTTAAACTGAATCCTAAAATTCAGATAAACGCTCTTGGTTATGACGAGCACTGTTACACAACGTAACCGTAAATAAAACTCAGATTAAACTGATTTGGTTTTTAGCAAAGTTAGAAAGTCTACTTGCAGACTCAATTTTATTATGAAAACGGGTAATTTAACAGTGTAGTTTTGAAATTACGTAGGATTTGTTAACATTTAGTACCTAAATAAAATGCACATTATTGAATAATAATTATTTAAAAATAATGAAATTGCCTCAATGATGAACATGATTTGACTCAATTTCTTTTCCGTGTCGGTTCGCTATTCGAAAATAAGTGAATATGATGCCACCCATAAATGTTTTTTTTTTTTTTTTTTTTAATTTACTATCGAATTGAAAGTAGCATGATAAAGAAATGACACAGTAAAATTCGCACAAAACAATCGCGTTTTATATTGTGTACAACCTTTGTTAAACACGGTCAAATTGGGTACAAATATCTCATAAAGTCAGTAACTTTCAACATTTACTATATAATGGTTTCAATCAGTAATCAAAAATCAACGTAAACAATTAACGTTATTAAACAGGACTAATAAAATATCGAGGTTTAAAAATTCCCTGCAGAGTGTTGGGTCTCCCCTACATTGGCAACACTGGGTTAGTGATTAGGCTGAGGGGTGGCGGGAGAATCGCGATCGATTTTCTTAGCGATATCTGTTGGCGAAGCGTCGAGTTGAGGGATGTAGTAACTAGATATCTCGCTTGGTGCAGCACCAGTCATTAGCATATATGTGATCATGTAATGTGCGTTGTTTATTTTTTCTTAATATTTTTTTGACATTTCGTAAGGGAGCTGTGTAAACCACCAAACTAATATACTTTTATGATATCGAACATTTATTTATCTTAAATGGCACTGAAAGTTTGCACTTTAATGTTTCTGTATAAAAACCAATCACCTCTTTCAAAGGTCATGGTGGCATGGCATAGGGAATGCCTTTTGATGTTAAACATTCATTGACTTTGAATACCTACTGCAAGTATATTTTCTTAGATTTCCACATTAGAAAAGATTTCCACACTCGCCTGTGCGGGTGCAAGCATTTCTCTTGTGTGTTCACACACTAGTTATGCAAATAAATAATCTCTATGGAGGAATAATGGGAATAACAGGACAAAAGGAACATGTATATAATATACTGGGAGAAGAGGTTAACTCCTAGAGGGGTAACTGGAATACCCCTTACACACATAAGTAGTACTCTCGTTACTCTTGTAGGGAGTACAGATCTACTATTAAATTTCTGAACAGAATTAAATTTTTTTAATTTGAGTAATTATTTCTTTTTAATTCTGTGAATATAAAAATACAGAACACCAATGGATTTACCAATGGAGGACTTGGTTGGATCCCAAAAACTCTTGGTTATCAATCAATCATTGAGATGGGGACGCCACCTAGGTGCGTATTTTAACCCAAATATGAGTGAAGGATGAGTGTAGAAGATGGTGTGAGATGATCTGTGAGGCTTAGTTACAGCTGTTCCATTAGTCAGGATCATTTATTTAAAGCCCAATGATCAGGAACAGCTGGGTCCAGTTTCGAAATATGCCTACGGTATCTTTAATCGGTTTAAAATACTTACTTTTGTACGGTCACCATTTCAAATTTAAGTAGTGAAGTATTAGTTTGATTTCCCGTTTTCTTTATTATTAAATACTTCTATTATAGAGTTCAAACCTGTATTTTTTCTCCCCCCGATATGAACGCAGGCTGAGTGTAGAATGAATGGAATGGATGATCGATTTATCTTTGTTACTGACTAGGATCAGTTTTGTTTGGTCAAGATCATAAGGAACAATATGAAATGGGTCCAGTTTTAAACCCCAAAAAATTTATGACTTTTCAGGGGATTGAACCTGCAAACTTCTCGGCTGAGCACCATTATTACTCAGCTATAGTCCTCGCCACCCTAACTTGAGGCAGCCCAAGGCTGCACGCCGTATGTCTAGTGCGGCCTCGGGCTGCCTCAAGTTAGGGTGGCGAGGACTATACCAAATTAAATGTGAAGAAAGAGGGTCGTGTTCAGTTTTAAACCATCAAAAAACTGTATTTCCTCAGGAAAAACCAGCAAACTACTCTTGATGAACATGGTAACCACTTAATTACTAACAATTACAATGTAAAATACGCAAATTTCTAGGAAAGAGAAAAGTAACTCAAGACATAAGATGTTAAGATGAATGTAATTATAACAAATTATTGACTGATTCAAGCAGGTTATAAAATGTGGCTTTTTAAAACTAGAGATTGTAAGTACAGATGTAAAATATTACATATGACTAGGGAATCATTTCTTATCTAATGTTGAAAAATATATCTATAGGCGATACAATACAATAATAACAATGTATATAATATATATAATTTGAACAAGCATCAGTAACTCCTAACTCTAAATAACAATTGACACTCGCACGGTTTGTTGTTTACCAAAACATGATTTCTCAACTGGACGTTAGAGAAAACAATGAATAGGATGTAAATTTTGTCAAAATTTGAAAATTTTGTGAACAAAATTAATATTAGAACAAACCTGTAAAATTCTGATTTAGAGTAAACAATACAAATTTGCTAGATGTATTCGATCAGTTGGTTGGTTAACTGACGACAACTTGAAAGACAAAATAGTTTATGAAAATAATATTACTGTAGCATTTATTTAAAACCAAGAAACAACTTCCTCGAGGAAGTAAGACAAACTCGGTGCGAGAGCTGCGACTGAACACTTTAACTTACAGGAATATCGTGCTAGATGAATATAAAAACAATCACCGCGTAGTGAAGATGGCAATAGAAGCGTACATTAACAATATATTATATATAATTTACAAACAGAACGTTGCAGTCCCCCTGTCTTTTTTACTGCGTCGGAAACAAATTAAGTACACAAATAAATGCATTCACAAACACTAGAAAACATTCAGATGTAAAAAAGACTAAAGACTAACGAGTCGAGGGAAACAATAAGATAGGACAAATATATAACAGTAACCTTAATATTTACATAACTTTTTAAATCGGAATCTCGTCCGTCTCACTTATCGTATTATATTATAAACGGTGAAATAATTTAACAATATATTTTAGTGACAAATAAGTTACATAAAATATACAGGTGGTATTTATAACTAATTTATACTTTTAACATCCATCGAGGTTCCAAAACAGAAAGACTTAAAGTAATGAAAACAATTTCACAGCCGTGTATAGAACGTAAACGTGTACGTAAAACACCGATTGCAATTAACAATGTAACACAAATGCTTAAGTTGGTGTTGATTTTATGGAGCTAGGCTAAACAGCTCAGAATATGCTGCCGAACAAAATAGACACTGTCTTAACAAGTTTATTAAAAACACTTACTTGACTTTAAAAACTAATATTATATGGTTCAATTATCAAACTACCGGTAGAGTTTTAATATTTATTATGCAAAGACCTAAACTTTGTAATAGTGATAAAGCTACTTAATAAATCCATGTGAGAAGCGTTAAAGAACAATCTTTAAACACTAAATTTTCTAAGTGAATATTTGTTTCACTACAAGATTGAATTACTTTCAAAATTACATTTAAATTTGAAGTTAATCTTTCTACTTTGAAAAGAAATTACATAAAGAGTAAAATTTGAACAATTAATAAAAAAAAGAAAAGCCAAAAAATTAGTTACATCAACTGAGTAATCATTGAAAATACTAATCATGACGCTAAGAAAAAGTTGAAAACATTTGTCAAATATTCAATAGTTGTTAAATGAAGGATCTTTGGTCCATCTACTACTTATTTGAGAAAGATCTTTGAAAGGCAAAATGGGACATTCTAGCTATGGGAATACCATAAACATGCACACTTTCTTGAGATATAAATTTAATAAAAACTAAAAGATATATGAGAACAATAAATAAAATGATCACACAGGAAAATGTAAACAAGAACAGTCTTATGAAAACGAACAAAATTGAGCAGAGAAGGTACAGAAAACAATCACAAAGTCAAAGTCATAATTCATTATACGATTTCTAAATTATTAGTTTTCGGATTGGTGCAGCTTCTAATTTTAAAATTTCTCTACCTACCTGATCGAAAAGTCTAGGCTACTTTGAAAGATTAAATTTTTATATAGTTCTCAAAGACAGTGAAAATACAAAAACTTTCCTGTTCTACGGAAAAGATAGAGTAAGCTGTGAAAAGTGAATAGAACAAGAAGAAGTATTTACAAAGTTAGCAAAGACAGTTGATCCCTCAGGAGACTGTAGAGGACCAGTGACATTTGTGTGAAAGGTTACAGTATACAGTATAATCATTGCAAAGATATGTTGTTGACGTCTTATGTAGTTTGCCACTAGACTCTTGTTCCTCGAGTCATTCTCCTGAGGGATGACTGCGGTGGAAAGACTATGACGAAACTATCTGACTTTGTACTACTAATTTGATACATAATCTAAATATTGAGCCAATCTTCAAGCACTGCCCGTCTCCACGTCTCTAGCCAATGTAACTTTGACAATGTTCAAAATTGTTCGAAAAGAAATAAGTAAAGTACAATTCAGTAAAAAAATTGAAAAAAGCGTTCACAGGTATAAACCTGTGAACGCTTTTTTTTAAGAGTGTTGATAACAAGACTCTTTAGTGAGCAAAACCTTGGTTGGATTTAAAAAAATTAGTCTTTACATTAATGAATTTAAATTACATTTATTGTTTCCATATAATCATGGGGGTTTAGGAGAGAGAAAAAAGGAATTTTTGGCCTATAAGTTCCTTAGGAACAATACCCTTGGAGAAAATTGGGCCGCAAGGCGCAAGGGCCCCTTCTCTGAATTTGTCTTTGAATATTCACTTAAAAATATTAAGTGTCAGGGAATATTTTAATTTATATAATTTATTACATAAACTAAACAATGAAAAAAATGGTTTTGTTATAGATTAACTGCTTTTCAAAAGTTAAATAAAGTATCTTGATAACTTTTTAAATCTCCTGTATTAAATTATAAATCGAGGAGGTCATAGTTATAAGTTAGTGGAGTTAAATAAAAAAAAATATGATAGAACAGACTACGTCACATTTGAATTCACCTGATAAGAAACTTATGTATATTTTAACTGTCTGTCCATACAGGAAAGTCTGCTTTTACATAAAAAAATTTTAAACATTAATTCAATCAGTCACATTTGGCTTGAGGTTGAAGACAAGACTATGGCAAAGTGAGTTCTAGACCTACCAACTAAATTTACAATGGCTAAATTCGAACCTTTGTATCAAAAATACAATCTTGAACACTGAATTCACACCAACAAACATCCGACCAAATAATAAAAATATGTCATTTATTTTTGTCAACAATGAACCGTGGTTTGCTACCTAAATCTAAGAAATTAAATTTCAACAAACTAATACTGGTTTGAAAAATAAACACACCAAAATCGTAACTAACTGACTAACAAGGATCCCTGTTTTACAGGTAAGAGCTGTCGTTCGGCTCCAAGATGGTCCTCGGCTTTGAGAAGCTCTTTGAAAAACAAGTAAACGAGCTTTGCAAAGGTTTGAGGAGTATCTGGGAGACGAACCGAAGACTCATAACACAGTCGTATCTCAAAGGCAAACAAACATAACAAGATTAACCCGGTCTTAGCACCACTCGACCTACTGATAGCAGAGTGTAACGGTAAGCAGATAGAACGCTATAAGAACGTAGAGATAAAACTGATTGCCCTCGAAGTTCCATGGATCCACACTAGAATATCATCCTGGGCTGTCCATGTCATTAGCGGCTCTGAAAAATAAATAAAGGCGCTGGTTATCATACAAACTAAATATTAGTAAGATACCGCTTGCAATAATAATCTGGAACATTCCTTGGATATTTAGTAATAGGTGAGATAATATTATTATTTTTGTCACCTATTACTTTCTTGCCCAGACATGATCAGTATTATTTCACTTGGTCCTCCTGACAGTTCAGACAACATTACAAAAATAATATGGTTTTCTTAGTTATCTACTACCGAGGTACTATTGTTCTGTAGTTCTGGCTGTTAATGAAGAAAGCCATCAGTGGGATAGTTATTTATTTTGCTCATTCATACAGCTCAACAAACATTACAGAAATAACAGGCTATTCTAAATAATCTATTACCAAGGTTCACGCAATTCAATATACTTTTTCAAATTATATTTTTGTATTTGATCGTTTGACCGATTTGTCCGAAATTTCTTATCAAATTAAAACAGAATTTCGGATAAAACACAGTTATCACATTGTTTTATTCGTAATTTATAATATTACAGAAAAAATTCATGTCGTTATTAGGCTCTGTAGTCCTCTTTAGTGCGAATTTAGTCAAGCAGCAGTAACAAAGGACCGGCTCCCGCTCCGGTGAACAATACCCGATTCAGGAAACAGACCCAATCCTTGGTTCACTATGGGGGTCTGTCCCAACTATAGTTCTGTAAGTATGAGTATGGCTGACCTGGAGTTGCTACTTGGTCCGATGGAAGGTGAACTGACGGGAGAGAATGACCTTGGACGGACACCCCTGGGAGACGGGCCCCCCTGCCTCTCTCTTTCTGCTCGTTCTTTCTGTAACCTGCAAAAATACAAAGAGATGTTATATAGAGGCGGAGTTGAATTACACTTATTTAAAGTATTACCTTCACATCTTTGGACTCTAGGCTCTAGTTCGGAGCTGTTTTCACATTACTTCAGGGTCCTAGAGGGTTGCGGCATTATCACATAGATAAAATCCATTGGCGATTGGCGGGATTCAAAACTGGCACCTCGGAAAGCATAGTCCCTTACTCTATCACTAGACCAGCTTGCTTCCCTGACACTAGGTACTAATTAATATACACTAAGATGGGGGAGCGAGCTGGTCTAGTGGTTAGAACGCAGGACTTCGGTTCCTGAGGTTCCGGGCCCAAATCCCGCCATGTCACTAATGGATTTTATCTATATGATAATGCCGGAACCCCTAGGTCTTAGGTCTGAAGTAACGTGAAAATAATCCTGGACTCGTTCCTAGCGTCCTAGGACAAAAAAGATGGGTACCCCATTGACATATTTTAAACAAAATATGAATGAAGGATTGTAGATTGAAGTAAGATGTCTTTTGTAGCTTTAATACTGACCTGACTACTTCTTAATAAGGGCATTATTTAAAGGCCAATTTTTGACAATGGCTGAGCCTGGATTTGAATCATGTAGTTCACCTATAGTAAACTTTGCTAAAACAATTCAACAGTTGGTCCTTTAAACGTCAATGCAATGGTCTGTAACAATCGGCTAATCTGATCCTAAAATAATACACACCTTACCTTCATTTAAGAAACACTTTTGCATCAACAATAGTATGGTCATAAAACAGAGCATATATGTACAAAAGCTACATCAAGTCACTGAACGGACGTCGGCGAGTTGAAACTTACCAGTGAGCCTGAGCTTGACGCTAAGTCCCACAAACTAGTGAAAGCAATGAGGAAAAACATTAGTGTTAGTCATTGTGTCAATTGAATAAAAAAAAGTTACAAAAATTCTAAAATGTGGGATTTAATTCAGCGGCTTTTTCATAGAGACAAAGACAAGTGTCTGAGTGAACTATGTTCTAAAGAATTCATCTTGAGAAATAATAATATTTACGTTGTTATTGACTCTCCAATCTTTCTCGTTATGTAAAAAGATGGAAAAAGAGCAGAACAATTTTACACTTGTCAGAGGTTGATCTAGATAGTTAAGAAGGGATTTGTTAGAAGAAATAAGTAGTAATAAGCCAAGCAAAATAAGTACGCATTAGGCCTAATGTTATTTATATGGGAAGAAATCTAACTTTTATTATAAGGAAATATTTTAGTAATTCAAGGAAATTGTATTTGCTTAGTTTTTATGATGTAGGTAGTTACAATTTACAATACTTAGAGAAATTATTGTAGAAATTAGAAACGTACTTGTTCTTAGACTGCCTCATAAATTGCTGGATTTTGCGAGCTGCCTGATGTTGTCTTCGTTGGGAGTATGTGCGCCTGAAAATGAACAATCGTTTAGGAATATTTTGATTATTTTCTTTGACAAAAATACTGCGTAGAATAAATACCGTTTAAGTTCAAAGAGCTTTATGAATTTTAGAGATGATTTAAACAATTTCACATGGAGAACCATGTTTCCCAAAAATTAAGATGATTATTTTCAATTTACTTTTAGCAAACCCTTTAAATAATACGTTGGTTTAGGGTTGTGATTTTGATTGTTTACAAAAATTAATGTCTACCATATACGTTACAGGTTTAGGTATTAATTGCTTGTGGTGAATCTTCTTTAAGTAATTTCCGATTTGTCTAGGTTTTGTAAATTGTGAATCTTTGTTGTTAAATGAAAAATTGTTTATTTTATCAGGTAAAGTTAGTTTTACCTTTCTTACACTTAACCTGAAACTCAACCTTTCTTACACTTGATCTTTGATGTTTCCTATCAACTGCTTTGTGTTACTATCATTATGTCCGAGGTTCTTCATCACTCTTACTACTTATTTTATTCATATAAAATACCAAAATATAAAATAGTTTGTTAAACATTCACGATGTTGCCAAAGTCACTCACTTGAGGCCCGTGGGTGGAGTAGCGTCCCCACTTCTTCCCTGGTCTCGGTAGTTCCTGTAGTAGTTCTGGATCCTCACTGCGGCCTCTTGGTTCTTCTTGAACCGTTTGTGTTCACAATAAGATCTGAACCCATTCTGTATGACCATAGCAGCTCTGGTCATCTGCTTGAAGTAGGCGTACTGGAAATAAACGACAAGATTAGTGTTAACTGAAAATGTTTATGATTTGATTCTATTATAATATTGTCTATAATTATATTGTTAGATCAAATTCTCTGCCACACATTTTGCTTATGTGTGAGGTAGCACCCTCAGTTGGGAAATCATACACCAGTAAGTTTTTTCTACAGTCAGACTCACAAAAGTTTGCAGTTGGCGGCAGCCAATCACAAGACAAGGCTAGTGCGACGTTGCCATATCGCCCGTTGATGACACTAATTAAAATATTAAACAATATTTTCAAATCAGCTGGTATTATTAGATTTGGCAACACTGCACTGTCCTCATTGGCTCATTCAAAGTCACGTGGTAAATAGGCTCCTCCCTCAACTGCAAACTTTCGTGGTCCCGACTGTAGAAACTTATATCATGCCTTAAAAATCTATGAATCCTTCAAACTGTATCCGATTTAATGTAGATAGATGAGTCTAAGACCATTGATTTCTCGTCACTTCCATTTGTTTACTATCTAAAACATGTTCAGAAATACACGATCAAGAGTCTAGAAGCATGTGGAGAATAATGTGGGAATAAAAAGAGACTGTGGTATGTAGAAGGAAATGGAGAAGCCTAGTTGATGTATAATTATGTGATTTAAAAGATCTTTGGATCACAACACTGATCAAAAAATTGCAGTGGGGTCAGTTAAGGTAATACTCATTGTACAATCACCTGTTTGTATCTGCGGTAATAGTTCTGTATGAGGATGGCTGCGGCTCGCTCCTTGTCTTGTTCTTCCAGCTTCTTGCGTCCTTTGTACGAGCGGTAAGCCTTCTGGATGATCTTAGCGGCCTCGTAAAGTTCTCTTTGTTCTCGGTCTGCCAATCAGAGTGAAATTATAAATCTAAATATAACAAGATCTTTGATTTATATTAGTACTAGCTGCAAGTCCATTGCTTTGTATCAGGAAGAGGTGGTGGAAGAGTATAATGTGGTTCTATAGATATGTTTTATGGAATAGTTATGCTGCATGCATAGTTAATTTTATTAAAAAAACTTTCGCTTAGATGGATAAAATTCTTTTTTGTGTAATTCAAGTCAGGCTTTTACTAAGTACTCTGTCTTAAGATAAGGTCATTTGAAGGAAGTATGGACCTTGGGTTTTGTTAATGCTACGCTCTCAAGAGTTTGAGCAAGTAAGCCTGAGGTCCATTGTTAAACATCATAAAATTAAAAAAATTGCAAGTTCCACTCACCAGACAGTGTAAGGTTGGAGAAGTCTTTCTCAAAGAACAGACTGTTGGAAGATGCGTGAAAGAACTCACAGAAGTCTGCCGTAGTGGGAGGAGGGGAGGGGGAATCTGGTAGGAAGGAGGAGGGAGATGGGGAGGGGAGGCAAGAAGAGGCGGGGGAGAGACTGGAGCTAGGGGTGCTGACGTCATAATACCTGCAAAACATCAACACAAGTGGGGATAACAAATAGATTAAGTATTCGTTTATGTTTATATTTTTTTACTTTCTCCCCCTATACCATAGTATATGGAGAAAGTATTGTTTTCGTCAAAATTTTCGAGTTTGAGTTTTGAGTGGATATATTCGTTTTGGGTCCCCCTGGACCCAAAAAAGTGGTTTTCGAAGTGATGTCTGTGTGTGTGTGTGTGTGTGTGTGTATGTGTGTGTGTGTGTGTGTGTGTGTGTCTGTGTGTCTGTGTGTCTGGATGTGTACAGAGCTAGAGACTACACCTGTGGTCCGATTTCGATGAAATTTGGAATGTAGGTTCTAATCCATGGTATCTCCAGGCGTTTTTTTCATTTTTTTAAATTTTGATTTTTAATGGGGATTTTCCCATAAAAACTCATAAAAAACTGGAAAAATAGGATTTTCTCGAAAATGGCCCGAACGATTTTGATAAAAATTTAGTATGTTGTAGCCCTTTAAATTCTAAACAAAATGGTACAAATCCCATTTCTCTAAAAATTACGGTTTAAAAGTTATGGTTAATTATGTAATTTTCCCATAAAAACCCCATAAAATAACGAAAAATTGTATTTTAGACAAAAATCCAGTTTTGATTTAACATAGTAGGTTATGGTCCTTACAATTTTGATAGTTTTTTTTCATTTTTTAGAAATTTTGATTTTAGATGGGGATTTTCCCATAAAACCCCATAAAATAACGGAAAAATAGGATTTTCCCAAATATGGCCCGAACGATTTTGATAAAAATGTAGTATGTCATAGTCCTTTATATTCTGAACAAAATGGTACAAATCCCTTTTCTGTAAAAATTACGGTTCAAAAGTTATTGTAAATTATGTTATTTCCCCATAAAAACCCCATAAAATAACGGAAAAATCGGATTTCCCAAAATTGGCTCGAACAATTTTGATAAAAATTTAGTATGTTATAGTCCTTTAAATTCTGAACAAAATTGTACAAATCCCATTTCCGTATATTTACACTCACCGCTTACACATGATAAAGGTTGTTGACAAACTTATGGGAGAAAGTATGTGTCAGAATGCTGATACCATTTATTTTAGTATGTCCTACCTTAACATACTAGGATGCTAGGCTCCAGCCCAGAGGGTCATGGCATTAATGATTGGCTGGTTTTGAACCCACTAGAACAGGACGCTTAGTCAGTAGTGAGACGGACTACAATTCTATGGCACCAATTTCTTGCGTTCATGTCCACGGTGGCCACAAATAGTTATCAGTACAGTTCATTCTTGTTCTTGCTTTGCTTGACATATTCCATGTACAGACCCATGTAGATGGATGAATGTACAGAACAAAACAAAAATAGTACATAAAGTGTGTTACATTAACTTAGACTATTCTTTAAAACTGTTAACAAACTATTTGCGTAAATTAAAAATTGTTTCTTAATGATTTTTTCATGTTCTCGTCTTTTGCATACCTGTAGTTGTGATCAAAGTTGAACTGGTTGTCAGAATCAAAGCAGCAAGAGGAGGTGGAGGAGGGAGGTTCGTCTATGAGTAGAGGAGAACCCATAGAAACTTGGACTGACTGGTTGCTCAGCAATACCATCATGTCCTCCCCTTCACTCTCGTTCTGGTCAACAATCGTTCAATAACATAACAATCTGTGTTTGGTCCAAGATGACTGTGAGTGTTTTGGAGCTAAAAATCGATAATTTAATTACACGTGCTATGCACGCTACTAATTAATCAATTAATTCAATTATGCGTGCTATTAAGCAGCATTCTTCTGACACTGAAGAGTTACTAAACTGTTTTATAACTTTTGTAGCAAGCTGTGTGTAGCTATTAGAACATAATTCAATTTCCTATTCCTAAAATGTAGTACACTAAATATTATTTATTGGTAGAATAATCAACCTACCTTGATCCTTTCGGGCATTGCAGCGATGATTTGTTCAGCCAAAGTCAAAACCCTCACTTCTTGCTCCCCTGAAAAAGTGAAATTTTTAAGTCTAAGAACTCAGTGCTAACAACGAGAATGTTTGGAATGTGTTGAATCAAAGGGCATGTTAATAATGCTCTTAAATGTGAAATACAGCCTAAAAGGTAGAAAATAGGAGTGTAGAAATAATGTAAGTTAGGGTACAAGGATCTAGAATTTAATGTTTAGTGTTAGAATAGTTCCCTTACCTGAATTACACAATAGTTAAAATATTACACTGTCGCTGACAGTGTTTTAATCCGCCATAGGTTAATTGGTTAGTTAACTGTGTTAAGTGTAAATGTTTTGGAATCCTTCCCATTCAGGGAAACTCACTATCTCAACAATTAATCTTAGTCGTAGTTTTACTTATTAAGCACTCATAACTATCAGATAAAATTCAAGGAATTTTACAGGATGTAGATAATTATAATTTTAATATTTACAGTTATGTATTCAATTATTTTAAACAAAATCTTACACAATGTGATTAAATCTTGCAGAATAATTCTAAGCATATACAGTATGACAAGATGACTCAAAATTTTAGTATAAATGGTTACATTTCACTTACCTTAATCAATTTTAAAATTAGAAATATAGCCTACAGTTAATAGTTATTTTTAAAATATTTGATTTTACAATACCTTTATCAGTTCCAAAAATGTAATCAGTTTTGGAACTGATAAAGGTATTGTAAAACCAAATATTTTATATATTACAGTTCCGGGGCTACAACAATGAATTTTAATAACAGTTATTTTTAGCTTATGATTTTATATAAATTGATTTCGGAATAACTTAGCACAGAAACCATATAACGTACCAAACTTAAAATTGTTAACCAATTCTTTTAGAATATATTTTTTTTAGCAGACTATAACAGAAACATTAAACTTCAATCCAATCACTGGAAAAATATTATTTAAATTAAAATAACAGTGTTACATTTTGTAATTTCAATTTTATGGTACAGTATCTGTTAAAACATCAATGATAGTGCACAACAATTAGATGAGGGGCTCTTTCTGCAACTGAATTTTTTTATTCTAAGCTCTATACTTTTTCAAAACAATTCCTTGCTTATTTATTTTGCATATTGTAGGATGCTACTCCAAAACGTTTCAGTGGCCCATACGTACCCACGTTGTCGGAGTTGTTGCGAGTTTCCTCGTCTGATAGAAGTTCTACGTCTATTATCGGAGACTCGCTCCTCGGGCCCGACGTCACCTCACCTAGTGGCAACACTAGTGCATCTACAAGCTGTTTCAACCTCTGCTCCACCCTTATACTCTCATATTTATACAACATCTCATCGTCAAGTGTATGGGTCTGTTTTCAGTGTGTAAAGAGTCAAATATTTTAAAGTAATAAACACCTATATTAAGGGTGCCGTTTTGATACTGAGAAAATTCAGTAGCTTGTTGATGGTTCGAAACTGGACCCAGCTGTTCCTGATCATTGGGCTTTAAATAAATTATCCTGGCTAATGAAACAGCCGATCTTAGTTAGAAAAAAAGCTACAGATCATTTCACACCATTCTACACTATATTAGGGTTAAAATACGCTTCGGGTGGTGTTCCCATTACTATGATTAATAGTAAATAAAATTGGTCACTAAGATTCTTCGTTTGAATTGAATAATTAATTTTTTTATAGTTTTAATGACGCAATTGAAGATAAAACAAGCTTCACACCGCTCAAAAGGTTTTGGTATGCTATGGTTGACCCAACCAAGTTCAATTTGATAATTTGTTTTCTTGACTAATAAAAAATATACCCAAGTAGTTCAGAGAGTATGAGTCATGGAGCGGAGTCGAATATAAACGAAGTGCAAAATTACAAATGGAATAAATCTGGAAATGCAGAAAAGATTAAGTTCATATCATTACAATGAGCTAGAACAAGACTAGGTAAAATGCAGTGATTTAGAACAATAGCTAAAATATTACTTCAATATGGAAAATAATCAAGTAATATACTACAGCCATCTGGATCAAGGTGCATATTATATTTTGAAAGTTTTACTGAAATAAGCTTGCAAATCATTACACAGTAAAACGAGACAATGCATGAATAAATTTAAAAACATCTCTTATAAAATAGAAAACTATTAAATTCTATTCGCATAATCTATTCAAGTAGCTGCATTATTTTCTTTATATATTCTTAACATTTACTGATTAGTGGTTTCAAAAAGTTATGGTATTGCTTTGGAAAAACCTTGTAAAACTTAGGTTGGGATCTTAATTTGTTTTAGCAACATACTGCAATACATCAGAAAAATATAAGTATACAAAAAAGGCATAGCAATCAATAATAAGGCAAACCATTGTATACTTTTGGTATGATTTGTATGTACACCTAACTTTTGAAGAAAAATTGGTATGATGGTTCATGTGCGTTCAGCCTTATCAAAACAGAAATCAGTTCTGGTAATATTGTTATCTATCTTACATAAGTTATAGGAATTGGAAAAAAACACCAAGAGAGAGTAGGAAATTCAGTTTGAAACAAACTTGGTCGAAAGGTTAAAAAATGTACGATGCAACACCGAGAAGGGACGGCCGGCCAGGGAAGGCATCAGCATGTACGGAAACTAGAAAATTACAAATAGTAAATGCGGAAACTAGAGGTACATAAATGCGTAACGTGACTAAGCAGAAGCCTCATGCCGAAACGAACAAACTTACCTCGACAAAACGTGTTGTGACGTGTTGTGTCGTGTCAGATGAGTGAGTAAGAAATATACAGAGACTCAGAAAGGATTGGACTAATTGCTAAGTTTAAACCTACGTTATGGATCTGGTTTTAGGAGAAAGATTGAGAAGAAATAATAATTTTTGTTTAGAACTAAAATCAGTGACATTTGAGGTTCAGATTTTAAAGTGTGAATCAAAGTAAAAATGCTACATTGACAATTTAGTCACAGTTAAATGAAAGTGACTAAAAGTAAAGACATTATAAAATTGCTGTAACCAATGCTGTGAGTTATTTTGAAAAACCATTCAATACAGATTTTCAAACGTAATCCTCAATCAAAAATTGTTGTTGTAAATAACATTGTTGTTGTCAATAAGAATGTTTTAAAATAAATTTTGGATTTTAATGAAGAGTAAACAACCCAAATAAAAATAATATTTATATCTAACCCATACCCCAATAACAAGCCACAAAAGACTTTTTTTATGTATCTGTTCTCTGTATATTTCCTTACATAATGATTCGTAAACTGTCCAAAGTAAAGTTATAGGGTTTTTAAAAGCATTCATGTAAGAATTTTTAATTATTTTACATTAAGATGGATTTATTGTTTATATGGCTGTTTAGTTTTTCTAATTTTTTCACAATACTTTCATGATTTGTTCTAAACATATCTACACTTTTCGGCTTCCATGTTTTATTTAGTTTTGGTTTAGTAACTGTTTAATATTCTTTACGTTTAACTTAATAATACTTACAAAGTGCAAAGTCCATTCGACGAGGAGGAGAATGAACGATGTCACTGTCGTAGGCGGAGTCTGTACCTGAGAGTGGGGAACTCAATGGTAGAGACATACTGCGCTCAAACCTGCAAGTTGACACATGTTAGAGTTAGATCGTGGAACTATATTATACCACCTTCACATCCTAGGAAGCTAGGCCTAGCCCAGAACCATTTTCACATTACTTTAGGCTAGGCCTAGAGGATCACAGCATTATCACTAAGGCTTGAATCCATCGGTGATTGGTGGGATTTGAACCCGAGATTCCAGGGTTAAAAGTCCCATATTTTACCACTAAACCAGTTTGCTCCCATGTTCCATTCATAATGGTCACCATGAGAATAAAATCGTGTCTATTTACTGGTGGGCTTAGAGGATTACGTCATTATAGACCTACCTGCATTACAGGCCTTACTTCCTAAAAAGCCTTAGTCCAAAAGTACATCATTACAAAATATTTAATTCGAGTGATTAATTTTTTCACTTAATTCCTCAACTCCATTTCTTTTTACATTAAACAAGTAGCCGCAGGATGTTTTTACAATGCTCCAATGAGAAGAATTGATAATAGTAGTTTAGATGTAAGTAATATAACTTACTTAGAAAAAGTAAAAGACATCACGCTTTAACTTGTTTTTGAAAAAAAAATTTGACAATATTGATTTTGAAAACAGTAATAGTCTCTCTTGGTTGAAAGTGCTGCATTGTAAATAACAGTAAAATATTCCCAATTCCACATACAGCGTAAAGTAATGTGTTTCTTTATTGTGCCATAATAGATTCTTTTCCATTAAGGCAAGCCTTTGTTCACTTGTAAACACTTTATTTTGATGGATTTTTATTGATAGAACAATACCTGGATAGTTTGCTGTGGCTCCGATGCTTGCCCCGTGGGGGGCTCAGTCGGCCCCCTTCTGTCCCCCCTGTCTGCGTGCTGTTGTTTTGTTGTTGGGACTGTGACTTTTTCATGTTGTTGTTTACTGTAACAACAATCAATAATGCAATTTCTCAATGATCACAAATCAGGAGGTTAAGAGATGAGATCACTATTATTACTGGAATTGGAAGGAGAATCAATATACTGAAGTGAATTAAGAAAACTAGTTATTCATAAAAATTTTTGCAAAACAATTCATTAATTATCAAAAATTAGTAGCCTATATTTAAACTTTGTGTCCTATGCCTGTGCTATTTTTAAAACAATGTTTTGAATTATTCTTTTCCCCTTACTTTGTTAAAAACCAAAACCAATTATTGACCCATTGGAAAATAGGCTGCTGGTTCCAACATTGATCGGTTTTTGCGATTTTACCAGTAAACTTTCTGGATTTGAAAGGAAAAGAATACTCCACAAGGCTACAAATTGAATGTAAAGATACTTTCCTAGCTAGACTAAGGGAATGAAAACTTGTCTAATCATATAAAAGCAAAGAAAATATTTTTTTTTAATACTAAAATCTGTTAATTTGACTTATGTTTATGACTATACTAACCTGAATTGGGACTCGGTGTTGAGTTGACTGCAGGAGGTGCTAGACTGTTGTTATTGCTGTTGTTACTGTTATTGTTACTATTGTTACTGTTGGGTGGAATGTTCACATATAGACTGAGCAATTTGTACTTTTGGCTGTCATTTCTGAAAAAAAAAAAACACATACAAATTTAGTTTTGTACATTGAAAGTGATAATGGCTCACTTAAATCATAGATAAAACATACTCCCTTAGTAGATTTATCATCCTTATGGAACAGCTGAAGCCAATTGTATTGTTAGTTCTGTATGGTGTACTGTAGAGGTCGTGTTTTGTTTTTTGTTTACAATTTGTTTCTTGTTGAGTCATTTAAAACCTCGTTTAACCAAATAAACTATCTAAATATAAATAATAACCTGTACCCTAGTTATATAACCAAACACTAAAGGCACAAAGGAAGAAATGAACCCTAGAATAATAGAAACAAAATTTTGTCGACACTAACGTCCAGTGCCACCGGACATGAACTGACACCAAAAACGAGCTTCAAAACTTACAACAGGATGAGAAGTGTACTTGTGTTGGTTATTCTTTGCTTAAATACAGTATGAAACATGGTAAGACACCTGTATAAGACGTATAAATTATTACAGTTTTAAGAAAAAATATTAACTTGAGTTTTTAGGACAAACCATTGGATACTGAAGTGAAAAAAAACATTTATAAATGGTAGCAAGTTATTCGTAGAAAGAACAACCAATTGAAGAAAAAACCTTTAGAAAAAAAATTAACAACTTTTTGTATGGTTACCTAGGAATGGCATCCGGTTTGAGAAAGATACCGTCATCTTTCAACAGGGAAGAAGTGAGATCAGATTCCGTTTCTTGGCTGTCGTCTGCTATGGACTCTGTAAAATAGAGGCTCTTAAATAAGGGACCAATAGAAAACCATGTTATTACCATAGATAAAACTTTGTAATATAAATAATTTACAGATTATCTTTCTTGAAGAGGAAAACAACAAACACCAACATATGACTTACTGCAATGATGAAAGAAATATTTGTTTTTGTTTTTAGATAAATCGGAAAGAAATTAAAGGATACACAGATAGCTCACAGTGCACAGATTTTTCATAATAAGAGCTACTTTCAGAAATAACTTGAGCACAATGCTCCGTGCTAACTTAATGTGAAAGGCACTAAAAGTGGAGTAGTGACACAGCCTTGGCTATCACTTTAATGGTCCAGGCACTACGTAAAATAATATGTAAAATCTTCAAAGCTGGTTCCTTTACAGGTACAACCGTAGTCTCACCAGGCTGGGAAATGTTGGTGCTCTCCTGATGAACAGTCTGTAGTCGCTGCGCCAGTGCAGAGTGGTTGGAGGCTCGCGCCAGGTCAAGCGCCGTCTGTTGTTGGCCGTTTGTCACAGAGAGCGCTGTCGAGTTCCACTGGTACAGAAGCAGAGCTGTCTGAGTGTGTCCTCTCCAGCACGCCCACATCTGTAGTCAATAAACATTGCCAGCTTGGTCAAGTGGAAATACAAACCCTATGTACAAGCTCATGTAATGTGTCAGTTTAGTGAATCAACAATAACATTGAAGGTTACACTACCTTAAAAAATGTGAGGTGATTTTGGATTTCAATTAGAATTTGAGTTTCATCAAACTATTTTATAGGAGCCCACATCTACTGTAGAGAGGAGGCTGTGTCAAGCTCTTGAGTGAAACACAGTGAAACAACCATAGTAGGCCTAACATTGAATGGTACAGAGTCTTCCGAAATTAGAGTCTTGTCATTTGGACTTTACAAACACCAAAAGCACTTTACAGTCCAGCCAAACTCTTTTATAGTGGTCCGAGCTTATTGGAAAAACTCCAAAAAATTAATAGATACAAACATAATAGTCTATTTCCCTTCTTAATTAAAAAATACCTCAACACTGAGTGTGTGTGGGTACAGTCATATGTTTCCTGTACTGGATGGTTTTGTTTACAATATCCAATATCCAAATACGTACCAGTGGAGTGTAGCCTTCGTCATCCTGACTGAGAGCGTCCACCTCCGTCTCCAACAGCAAGGAGGAGTTCTCGGCCCTCCAGTGTAACATCGCACACACCAACCTGCACAAACACCACTGTCAGTACAGACAACAGACAATAAACTAGAGAATGTTTACAGTCAATGATGTCAGTATGTAACAGCTAAAGTTAATTTAAACAACACCAGATTCGGACAGTTACACTAACAATTCCCACAATCTAGAGGCCATTCAATCATGAAATCTTTAAATCTGCCTATTGACTCAACTAAGTATTTACCTGGAGTATCCCAGAGACGCAGCCAGATGCAGCAGAGTCATGCTGCGCAGAGTGGAACACCAAGAAACAGAAGTGTCCTCATCACTTCTGCTGCGCCATGATCTGCGCGACAACGACTGACACAGAGACACCAGTCTGTCCTCAAAACTCTTCTGCTTCAACAAGAGGCTTGCCTCCACCTGTAAATAGAGGTGGGAAATAATGTTACTTTGTGTTTTTGCAATGTAAGGTTTCCTATGTTTCTTGTACCAAAGTGGATTCTTTATCATCAAGGTAAGCATGCTTTCCTAATAAACATTTTTTCTAGGCCCTGAAGTGACCATAAGTCTACATAACATCCTTGACAAAAAGGAAATTTAATTTAATCTATACCTACGATATATCCTCAGTTCTAAATTCACTCACAAAGTCATGACCGGTGTCGGGCTCCTGTTTGATCTCCAGCCGTTCGTCCATGGCTTCTAGCCTCTGCAGCAGTGTGAACTTGAGCAGGTTGTCGTTGGGCGCCGCTGTCGACTCTCTAACACTGTGCTGCTCTCTGGGAGGCGTCTTGTACTCAAACATAGCTGAGTTGGAGATGACAAACCCTTGACACGCCACTTGTAGTGTCACCAACCCCACCTCATGGGCTGCAACATTGGTTGTTGGTTAGACAAGATGAGAAAGCTCTTTTCAGGGACTTTATGGAAATTCCTTGGTTTAATAGGTCATTTAATTGTTATTTGAATAGGAACAAATAAAGAATTTTTTTTAAGGAATATTAGACAGTGTTAATCCCAATGTTACATGATTTTTTACGATTTCAATATTGTTTAGTATACTCTAAAATATGAATACCACAGGATTTCTAGTGAATGAAGATAATTTAAGTCCTTGATCTAACTGCAAGTGAAATATTAGTCCTCTTTTACCAAGATTAAAATTAATCGGTATTAGCATTGACTATTAATAGTCAAAGGTTTTGGGAAAAAATAGTCAAACTAGACCCCTCACTGGTAATTTTGTGTTTTTTTTCTAGAGAATAAACCTCAACTGTCCTATAGAACTAGTTTGTGTAGTTAGCCGAAGCATTATGTAAGGTACGAGTCTCATAGGCGAGCCAATGGTGACTGCATTGCTAAGACAAAAGCCAGTCTCAGACCAGCAAAGTTTGGTTAAAGAGCTCCATAGACAGTGTTTGATAAGATTTGTGTACACTGGTTCAACAATACTGAAAAGAGTGGCAAGTTAATCTCAAGATGAAATATAAAATGTTGTACGTCTTGTATGAGTTTTTGTTTTAAGTGTTGAGAAAGTAAATATTTCATTAGTTATGGTTCAGTACTATACCTGGGCAGTAGCAACGTAGCACTCCAGATTGCACTAGTGTTGTTGGAACTGGGAAGGAGTCGAAGAGAACTGTGTATGGAGAAGAAGTAGAGTACCACGGTCCCGTCACCAGAACTTTCACACCTCCCTGGTAAACATTTATTGTGTCAGTAACAACATATAGCACATGGGAAACTGGGATTAGAAACTTTAAGTATCCCAAACAGCCACCATGGCTTTTAGCAAAACCTGTACTTAGACTACTATTTATAAAAACTTGTTTAATTACGCAAACACGCTGTTTTTACCAGTCCAACTACTGTGGTGGACTATTAGGTCTCTTTTTGGCCAAGTTGACACTGTAGATTGGCATGTTTGAATCCCGACTTGGCTGTGAATGATGTACAACTCATGAGTTTATCTACCAGAGCTGGTGGAAAGGGCCTTTCAAGAAATGATGGCTCGGATGAATATTGTAGAAATAGAAATTTTTTTTTGAGTCGTACTTCTTTTATTGGAAAACTATTATTTACTTTACTTGTGTCTCTGCCAAATGACTAATAAAATGACTCTCTAAGTTAAATACTTTTACTTGTTCAACACAAACTACATAATTGTGTGAGCCTATATCTCACCTCAGGATAGGCCCACTCAGGTGAATAGTCGGTGATATTGGCGGGGGCCTGGAGTTCAGGTGGGGGCCCCTCTGGGCTTGCCTGTTCCTGGTCACTCTGCCCTGTAGTGCTGCTGGTGGCACCGTTACCTAAAACCATATCTAAAGATAGAATAAATATTGGTAAGAGGAGAAAAATGTGAAAATGCAATGTGCGGTCTTAAAATACCAAGGATTTCAATTCTGGAATGGAGTTTCTAACCATTCTTTAATTGATCTATGTCAGCATTCAAACCAATTAACTCATTCAAATTCTAACACATTAACCCCAATTACATCTGGGCAATGTGTCTTGGGATATGTTTATTGTTCATGGGTAGAAAAACTGCCTTGATCCTCCTGTACAGAGTGGGAATGTATTAACCTTGTTTCACACTAATGTAGATTAAGCTCAGTAAAACTCAAGTAGAGATAGGTTTTGGATGAACTAGTCAATTTTTTCATAAAAAAATGAATAAATAAATCAATTAAGCTTTTGCAAGGTTTAAGTCCCTTTGCAAGATTTACCAAGTGGGTTAGTTCCCCTTAAAGAATTGTCACAGATCTCTAAACCAAAGGTTCGTAAACGTAAATGTTGTTATTAGCTTATATGATAATCTTAATATTAACAAATTAGCTTTGTTTATCTGTGTTATTGAACGCCATATTGACTCTTTTTACCCATTTAGTGATGAAACAGTCCGCACTATTGTCTTGTTAACGTCTAATGTAAACGTTGATCTATTGTTAAATAGCATAATTAATTATAGATAACCCAATGATAAACAGTGTCTAGGTCTAGAATACAGCCCAGTTTTGGGATCGACAAACCATCAATCTTCAGACCAATCTGCTCCAACGTACACCCACCTCCGCTGTGGTTGGAGTCCAGAACCTCAAGCTCCGGGAAGTCCCCGAGCATGTCGAAGGCGTCCAGATTGACAAACACATCATCGTCCATGGCGGAGGGTGGTGAGCAGGCAACGTCTATGAACTCCATTGGATTGATTCCGGACACCAATACATCTGTTTCGGCCTCCTCTCTCTTACCGTGGCTGCTGCGGTCCCTGTGCAAATGACTCATGAGGACAATCTGATAATAATGTGGGTTAAAAAGGGAATCTTGGCTTATCAGTGTGTGGGAAAAATAAAAACTGAATAATCTAACTGAACTGAGAAAAAACTAAATTTAATATTTACTAACTTCTATAATATGGTTTTTAAGCAAATATGAACCTGAATAAATATCAAGTTATGTTAAAAAAATCTACTGTGAGAAAGAATTAACACGATCGCTGAGTAGCATGGGTCTACAGAGATACAGCAAAACAACAAAAACAAGAATGTCTAAAAACATGATTGTGTTTGAAATAGATAAGGGCAAAATATATACTACAACACACACAATTACACAATTTTAATTTTAAAACATATTATTAATAAAGAACAAATTTAATGCATAAGGTCTTTAATTAATTTCTGATGCTTCCACTTTTACCCTCTTATTAATTTGATGTATTGTTTTGATAAGATAAAAATCTTTATAAAGATTGCAGAGACAAAAATGTTGTGTAAAAATGTTTTTGAAAGAAAAATATGACTTTTAGACAATAAAAAAATTTGGTTATAGGACTAATAATTTTTTACTTACTAGGAAAAACTGCAACACTTAAATAGACATTGATGAAAAATAACAAAGAAGTGACTATGCATTAGAATTTTTATTTAAAAATTACAGAAAGATTTGGTTATCAAGCTTCTCATTAGAGACGTAAAAAAACAAAATATATACTTTTGTTTGTAAAAAAATTGAAAATCTTTTACAACTCTCAAACAACTTACATTACGCTGTACAACACCTTTGAAATAACTAACACACTGGACTACATCAAACTGGTTATTGATCACTAGTTACATAAAAGGAGCTGCAAAAGCAGTAAATATTTGAAAACACTTAATTGAAATAAGTGTTCAGTTGAATAAGAATCTTTTATTACTTTGTCAAACTTAAATTGACAGTTTGGTTTGGTTTGGATCTTCAAAATATAAACTTTAACTGACTGGTGCTGTTAAAATTTACAATTTTGAAAAAATCCATACAATAGTAGATGAATTTGACTAATGTAATAAAACTATCAATAATCAAAGTCAAAACCATATGTAGATGTTTAAAATATTTTTCCTGTAAAATCTCATAGCAATTTGTAAATTAACGCAGTTGCTTTAAAAAATATATATATTTCTAAACTTATAGTGCTTTTTCTTGTACCAAGATAATTTTAATTAAATTCAGTGTTAGATCTTGGAATATAGATACAATGGACTGAAGTGGACATGCCAAATAAAAAGGGTTCGACAGTTTTATAGTTTAATCAGTCACCCACAAAGTGTTCCGCTTTTAAATAATTTTTCTCTGTCACAACAAAATTTAAAACCAATCTGAAAGGGTAACTTATATTGCACCATTACATCTTTTAAGTCCCTATCAATTGTGGATCACAAAAATGTTATATTTGTATACAGGATTGGCAACAGAAGGTCTTTATTGATGAAATATTTTTTTCAGTATGGTTCAATTGGGGGTTTTAATAATTTGGAGAAGTAAATTGTTGCCTAAGTTCAATAGAATAACATATTAGTGAAACTAAGCAGGAAAATGACAAGTTTGGAAAAAGATTTCATAGATAAGAAATATGGACAAAGATAAGTTGAAGTTTTATAACTGGTACTTAAAATTATGCAACACTGGTGTGTTAAACACAGTCAATTGTTTTCTTTGTAAAATTCCAGTCCTTCTCTTTTTATCCCTGTTAAAAAAATAAAAGAAAAACTTACCTTGAAACAATGAGGGGTTTTTCATACCAAGTAACATCTTTGTCAATTCTTGAAAACTTGGTTATATGAAATTGACGGGGTTTATAAGAAGGGGAGTCACGATCGGTAGTTAGAAAACTGAAAGATAGAACAGAAATGACGGATTAGATAAGGGGTGAGTTGGGAATGTACGTTATTCCGGATTGACAGGATTTGCAAAGTAAAAGCCATGGAGAAAAGAGAGGTTAAACATAAAATTAAGTTCGAAACAAGAAGAAAAGAATAAAATAATGAATGAAGAAAATTTGTCTGTCATAAATATTTTGAATACGTTTTTAAACACTTTAAATCTGTTTACATCTAAATGGCACTTGGCGTTACAATATGTTATTTAGTGTTTATAATGTCTGAAAAAGTTTTAAAGTATTAAAACCGTTACAATTTTGACAAATAAATATGAATTTATAATTAATAATGGTTCATAATAGCAGAAAGTTTTACAAAACAAATAAACATTCTGAAAACTGCATAAAACCAGTGTTTGGTGAAATAATAAATGATTTTCTTATCAATCCAGAAGAAGTTGATGAAGTTAATTCAGACTAATGCTTCACAGGTTTTAACTGTGGTACGCATGTTATTAGAATAATTTAAATCCGTGTAAAAAATGCTACATTACTTTATATTACATTAAACTAAAATGTGTGATTCCAAAACCATACACAATATGATTAGATTTTTTACACTGAAATAATTTTAATACGACTAACAACAGTATGCCAAATTAAAAATAGCAGCTTAGTGTACAAGAGTCCTAGCTAAAAAAAGTGGGGTGGAAAATAAGACAGAGAATTTCAAAAAAGGATAAGACAGGATATAACATGCAAGAGTAGGTTTTGAAGAAGACCATACAGATACTGGAAGGATAAAATCTGAATCTTTGAGAAGATATGATGTAATGTGAATAATTTACATTGTAGGAAATATTGTTTGCATTGTACAGTGTATAGTGTAAGGCGAATGATTTATATTTTTACAATAGTTTACAGTGTAGTGTAAGTAAGGTGTATGATTTACACTATGTATTGTGTATGGTGTACAGCTCACCTGTGCTGGGCCTCAGGGGTGGCACAAGACAGAGGCATGTTGGCAGACAGTGTCTGTTGTATGTCCTCCTGAGACAAGTCCAACGTCTCGTTGAAGAACTGAGAACTGCTCAGAGAGTCCTTGGAGCTGAGACTGTCCGAGTGGTGCATTCCGAACGGCTTCACGTCCACCAGCATCTCTGAACCTGAGAGAAAAATACAGAGGTTTATTAGATGGCAAGACACTTAATGATTTGGATCCATTTTGTTTGGATTTTAGACAGTTTAGACAGCGAAATGAAAACGATTCACACACTTGCACATGCTATTTTGTCTATACCAACGAAAAATAAACAATTCAGAACCTGTTTGATTCCATTTTGTAGATTAATTTATTATTGTTCCATTATTGTTTGGTATTTAGTAGTGTATTTAAATAATCTAGCATAATGTATAGTTTTTTAATGTTTTCATTCCATATAAATTGATTTTGTTTCAACTTTGGATAATTCAGACTTTTTTGACAAGATTGTAGTTTCAGGCTGTCCAATTGAGATGACCATATACTCTGTTATGGTATTTTACAATTTTCGGAGCTGTTTCCAAAGGGTTTTGTTCAGCAAAAGGTGTTTGAAACCAACATTTAGTTGCGATAGGTATTACTTTATTAACAAAAACTATTGTGAATAAAACCTACTAGACGAGTCATGTTGTTTATGTCTCTCGCGCTCCTTGGTGTCGCGCCTTCGCGTGTAACTCCTCTCGTACTCGTTGCTCGACATAAGGATGTTTCCGTTGCTGATGTCCATCTTCTCCGCTGGAGCATTTGATTGTTCCATGGCAGTCGCGCCTCGAGACTGCTGCACATACAATATTAAAGAAAGACATTTAGTCGTTGAAATAATTGATTTTGTGAGTTTTTCCTATCTGGATAATTTTTTATGCTATTTGTGATGATAGATTGGAAATGGACCATGTTTACAATAGGGTTCTCAAACAGATTTTTAAAGAGGTTGGCGGCCTCTTTTAACCTTGAATTTACCTATCCACATAGGCTATGTGCTTGGAACGCATCCAGCAAAGCAAGAGCTGAGCCGGTACAGTACGTGGTGATCTGTATTGATAAAAAGTAGTGGCAGGGACCAGGATCCGAACTCGTGACATCCCTGCCTTGGGCCTGAAGTCCGTGCTGCTATTGGCTGAGCCACCAACTCACCTAAATCTGTATTATCTAACCAACATTTATGGCAATGGCTGGCCTATATGAATACAATGTCTTTCCAGTATGGTTCGTTTGGCGGTTTTACTATATTGAAACTAAAAGTTTTCAACCCACTCACGTATATCTGTATCAACCTCTCTGCTTATCCAACCTTTTCGCCATTGGTTTTTGTCAGAAAAAATTAAAAAAGTAAAGTTAAAAGTTAAAACCCCGAACACTTTTATGAAATACATTTTATTTACTGCAATAAAATAATGAAACAAACAGAAAAAGTTCAACTGAGGCTGCCTAGAGGACAAGTAGCACCCATGATTTACAGATGCTCTGATAAACACACCTGTTGTTGTTGTTGCTGCTGCTGTTGTTGCTGCTGTTGCTGCTGCTGCTGATGGTGTTGTTGCTGTTGCTGTTCGTGTCTGTGTTGTTGACTGCTTAACATATGACAAACTTGTCCACTTGAGTTGACAACTTCCATCTGAAATTCACATTTTAATTTGATGTGTTGCAATGCGTTTGTGGTTCATGTACCAAAGTAATTCTCTCTGAAAACAACGGTAAACAACAAAAGAGGTTCTAGTGTTGTTTTTAAGAAGAATGAAACATCACCTTGCTTCATATTTTAGAATTATTGCAGCCCAAAATGTTTATCGAGAGACCTCTGAACGCTTATTTGCTCCGCTTTCTTAAAATCAAGGTAAACATTTAACTTAGATAAACTACTGCAAAGTAAAAGAGACACTACATTTCCATGTGAATGTTGTAGCCAGTGATATGATGAAAAATGACTTGAAATAAAGTTACAGAATATTTTAGGTAAGTACAATATTGTTCACTACACACAGGCTTTTTAATGATGCCAAATTGATAGGTAAACTTTAAAAAACCGTACATTATACCTTCTCATTTTGTAACTTATATAACCATTTAGACAATAAAGAAGTTTAATTTTGCAACTATTTCCTCAGTAAAAGATCCCTTGGTCAAAGTAGCCTGTCACATTCTGGATCTTGGGAGATAATCGCATTGTTGAACCAGGGAAAATACTTGCCAACTGTGGAAACATAGCTTTTCCTAAATGAATCACTGCAACACATCCAAAACGTCGACTAGTATTTTCCCCAGTCAACAATGTGGCCAAACCCCCTAAGATAAAGATCCAACATTATTAATGCTGAACAAAACTTTAAAACTAGCCACTAATAATTCAACTCAAACAGATAACACAACTACATCCTAAATCCCACCACCATTGCAGCGCTTACAACGACCCAAACACACACCTAAACAACGGGAAACACTAACTAACACGAAGCATATCAACACATCGGTCACTAACACTAGACTATCCTACATGAGTGAGAGAAGGAATACTTCAGATGAGAGACAGATAGGCAGACATAGAGAAGATGATGTGCAGCAATGACGGAATGATTAGGTGAAGACACTACACAGACGGGTGCTACATGCTCGGTCTGTACAGTAAACATTGAACATTGAACACTGTACTTTGAACATTTGTATTTTATGAAAATCATAATAGTTAGATTTATTAATGTTAAAATGAAAACAAAGGCTGTTCAGAAAGTAAGTTTCCGTCTAACAATAAGGCACACTCTGTAGCATACAAATATATTGGCCTCCTCAATGACTGTTTTTGCAATATTCAAGTTTATAAAGTGTGCTGTAATTGGAAATCTTGCCTGTTGTTAAGTGCGGTTATACAGTTTTTGTTGACTATACATTTAGATATATAAAAATTTTTCATCGATGAAAAAAATTTAATGAATGGAGGTTCTGTTCGAAAACGATGCATTCAGTTTAAAAAATACATTCAAAATTTAGTCGCGGCTCAGCCGGCATTGTACCACGTGTTTTACTTTATCGTCTGGTCGACCAGTGCTAAATTTTTTGTTTTGTGTTTCCGTGTTATCTCTTAAGTTTACTTAGGTTTATTATTAAGCCACGAGGAATATTTAATGAAGACTACTTGACATTCTTTCGGCCCTAGCAAACTACAAAGTATCATTTCGACAGCAACAAGGTTACATAAACCACTATATAGTTTTATTTTATTCCAAAATGTTCCTTACTTTTTGAACAGCCCTTATTTTATGTATTATAGAGTATGTTTAAGTGTTTGTGTGGTTTTTCAAAGGTGTCCGTAGTTATCTTGGTTAGCTCATTAAATGCAAGCAAAGAAGTGTAAGTAACAAAAAAGATATAGGTAATAGTTGAATACATAATAATTAAAATAAAATTTTTGAACAAGATAAATTTGAGAGATATTTTTAGGGTTATGAACATAATATATGTTTATTTTGGACTTTTGTGGGGTTTTCATGGTTATTATTTTTATAATGTTAAAATCTATCCGTTTTGTATCTAACATAGTAAATCCCTGACATAATAAGTTTGGTGATAAATTGTCAATATCCTGTTTAAATATTTTTTGTAATTAAATTATTGTTTTTTTTTATTTAAGTGTGATTTTATAGATAAGGGAGAAATGAAAATGTATATTTGGTATAATGGGCTTTAGTAGTTTATTTTGTTATTGATCTCTGATAACAAGTTAAAAACTATTTGGTAGATATTATAGGTTAGAAGATCTTACACCTTAAGGTTATTGATGACCAAAATATAAGTATAAGTATGTGATCAAACAAAGTCTCTAGTTAAATTGTAATAGCAATTTAATTATTGTTATCAACAAGATTAATTTAGGAAGGATCAAGAAAGATTTGAGAGGAATAAAAACTAATTTAAGAAAGATATATTTTTGTAAAAAAATTGATAAATTCTAATAATTTAGTTTACAAAATCTTTAATATACTATTTAAGTATTTAAGTGTTAAGTAAACATATCTTGTTGAAATCAAAATGAAAAGGGTGATGAAACTAAAAGTTAGATTTTTTCACAGTAAATCTGGAGATGACAAGTTCACAGCTAACACTGAACAACATGTATGTTGGAGACCGAGCATTAGCCCCGAGTTACCTCCATCGCTTCTTGTTTGAGAGAGGCAGGGGTGGCGGGGGGCGGGGGTTTATCAGAGGCCCCCACTACGGGGGGAAGAATCAGCAACCCCCCCGCACCCTGGATCTGCGAAAGACTCAAAACCAAAGAGCCCCCGCTGGTGTTGCTGGTAGAAACCTGAAAATCCCAGCTGTTAATTTTTTAATCAAGAATCATCGGCAAAAAATAAACTAATAGAGTTGTTGCAGTTTACTGAGTTTTGTAAATTTTAAAAATGTGACAAGGAGATAAATAGCTGAGTGGTTAGGGTGCTCGCTTGACAACCCAAAAATAAAAGAGTCAGTTGTTTTTTGACGGTTGAAACTAAGCGCAGCTCTCTTGGATCATTGGGCTTTTAATAAATGTCCTTGGCTGTACAAAAATCTTAACCAGTAACAAAGCTTCTTAGATCATATAACTTTATCCTATACTCATCCTGAATTCCTACTCAGCTTCAAATACGATGGTCATCCAGAAAGTAACAGACGTTTCGCATCAGCCCTGTCATACCCTGTTGGTGTAGTCTATCACCAACATCTTAGCTTTAAAGTGTTCATACACTCAGCACTGAGCCTTGTACGAGTACTTTGTCTAGAGTTGAGTGTAAAAATGAGCACTGTCATTGCGCTGTCTCACTAGTCGTAAGGTGGGCGTTGTGATTAGATTTTTGTTGAACAGAACAAGAATGCACCTCAAAAATGGCAGGATTTGCATTGACAGCACTTATTTCAACCCTCCACTACAGATGAAGTACAACAGATATGATGCACAGGCTACCGTAGCTGGATACGTTGACTGTAGGAAGGCTCTAATACCAAGATGTTAGCGATAGCACTACTCCAAGCAGCACTGATGCAAAACATCTGTTACTTTCTGGACATCCCTCGTATGGACTTTTCCATCACATTCTAGGAGACTAGGCTATATACCAAAATTGTTTTACACATTACTTCAGACTAGGCTCAGAATTCAGGGCATTACGTCATAGTTAAAAGTCACAGGTACTTGACGGAATTTGAACATGAAACCTCAGAAACCAAAGCCGCTTTCTCTACCACTTAACCTGTTTGCTCCCTAAAGTAGCGTTGCTGTCTTAAAAAATATAATTACAACAATCCTTCATGAATTCAGGGAAATGGTTAAAACTTACAGAATCGGATCGTGCATTTTATTCTGTTTGACTTTCAAGACCTCAAATAAGAACTCTGATAGCACATTCGCTCCTTTCTTGAACAGATTTTCAAAAACTAGAAAAACAGAAAATCTGACAATACTAAAAAACTCCTCTTACATAAAACTGAAAAATTCCCCCCTCTCTCTGACAACGACAGGTTTTTGCTTGGATTAAATATGGCAACCCAAGGCCTGTTATTGCAGCTTTAACTTTTGACCTACCTGATGTTATGACAAGTCGGTTAGGTTCTCATCGTACTGACCTGTGTGGTGTTATGATGAGTTGTAATGGTGTTGTGATGGGAATGATGCAGTGTCATCGGCCGAGTCTGTACGTTCATCACCCTCTGTTGGTGGTTCATCATGGAACTGGAGGATACCTGTAACTGTCAATAGATCTTGTAATACCTGTAACTGTCAATAAATCTTGTAATACCTGTAAATGTCAATCAATCTTGTAATACCTGTAACTGTCAATCAATCTGGTAATACCTGTAACTGTCAATCAATCTTGTAATACATGTAACTGTCAATCAATCTTGTAATACATGTAACTGTCAATCAATATTGTAATACATGTAACTGTCAATCAATTTTGTTCAGTATATGGTATGAGTAAACCAAATCCAACAATAGTTAGGGATTATTTACTTTTTATTAGACAATACTACTTTCTTTTGTTTGTTGATCAAACTTCACAAAGAGTAACACAATTTAGTTGTCAATTGCTAAATGTAAAAGAAAAACAATAGTATTGAGGTGATATTGTATTTCCTGGGTAGGGGAGTAGTTATGGAGGGTCAAACATTTGTACTATTTTTCTTCAAAATGTCTGTTGGTTTTTAACTGTGTCCCCTTATAAAAAATGTGAAAAATGCCAATGGCATAAACCTATAGCAAAGCTATGTGGGGACAGTTATACCTGGTTGGAAGGCTGGGAAGTGATTCTGCGCAAGGGCTGTGAACAGTTCTTGCCGTCCTGACATGTGCTGTCTGCGCAACCACACTCCAACTGTTTGTTGAGAGCTGCTGCGCGCGCAGAACGCTGTTTATCCATCAGCTGTGACACGATGGCTTCCACGGTCTCCGCAGTCTGTAGATCAAGAGTGATTTCAAAATTTATCTCTTAAAAGTTATAACTCAACGGTACTTTTGGTACTGTAAGAGAATGCCATCTATATCAATCAGGTGTTTCAATTTTTTTTTTCTCAAAATTAAAGATACGGTAGGTGATTGAGCTAGTCACTTAGTTTTGTTGTTAGTCGATGTGACATAAAAGATGGACACAAATAACTATATACAATGAACACTACATTTTGTCTTTTAATCCATTTCCCTATCACATGTGTATTGCAATTTAATGTGTCAAATATACAAGGAGCAACATGTGAGAGTTTTTTATCTGTGAGTAACTTAATAAATATATCTCACAAAATTTAGCGATTTTGCAGCCGCTAAATTCCATTGTATGAACCAAATATGAGATGATCATATCTCCAATAATATTTATTTAAGTTGTCGCCAGCTTTTAAAAATTCAGTTGGATCATATAATTTTGTGATCTGAAAAAATTATACAATATGTATAATTATACATGTATTTAAAACACTTTGAAATCATTTAATAAATACTTACTGAAATTTCCAATTCGTTGTTGAGATCAGGTTCATCTTCGCTGTAGACTGAAAAACAGAATATTACGTTAAAAATTTACTAGCAAAATATAAAATGATTTTCCCCACCGGATTTTGGCTTTCAATACTCTTTTGTATCAGAAGTGTTCAAGATATTCAGCAATATTGAAGAATCGGTTGGTTTTTTACATAAACACAACACGCACTGCATGCAAAAACTCAACAACGTTACTATTTTGTTAAGGTTCAAATAAGGTACTAGACACACATTTTTAAGGACTAACACATACATAGAAGGCAGAGAGGCAATAAGAGCTATGAAAAGCTATTGTTTTACCTATTTGTGTTTCCTATGTGTGTAAATGTTTAAACTATAAAAGAAATCAATATAAAAAAACAATTAAATATTTCTATTACAAATTTTGTACCAGAAAAAATGGAATATTAAGACACCACCTGAAATATTTTTTACTAGAAAAATCCATCAGTTTAGGAAATATTCACAAGAATCGTGTGGATAAGAAGTAATATTTTGTTTTAGCAAATTTACAATAAAGACAATAAGCTATAAAATAGGTAACCTATTATAATAGAAATTATAATAACGAATACCTACACAGATCAATCAGTTTAAAATAGGTAATAATCTAAAAAAAAATAAGGAGATAAAAATCATGAAATGGTATTTAATTAAATTGCGAATTTTGGACTAAGGGTTTAATGCTTAGGTGAAAAACTACACATATTCACCAGGAAGTATGTTTGATAAATGATAATAATAAAGATAAACAATAACTAAAAATTTGGATTAAAATATTTACTTTCTTGGGCAAGAAAGATGAAAATCTAAGTACAAGATTAAACATTGCCTTACCTTGTATAAAAAGATAATACTTTGGTTCTAGAGCGTTTTAAGAATAAAAATCCTACAAAGCGTAATCAATTTTAAATTATTTTAATTGTCAAATTATATGTGATTTTATCCATAAAAACTAATGCCATGTTGAATATTTGGTAAAAAAAATCCACATTGTTAACTTTGTTTTTTATTACACTTTTTTACACTGCAAGTATTTGACCTTTAATATATTATTGTTAATGAATGTTAGTTTTTAACTGTTATTGTTTAGTCAATAGTCTTATTTAAATAGGTTTAGCATTTAAATAATTTGTATGACAAAATCCACAAAAATACTAGATCGTAAAAAAACCATATGCTATGTAATTTAAAATTTTCAGTAGCTCAGCTGTTTTTAGTTATTATAATTATTTAAACTGTTCAAGATCTGGGAGCAATAATATTTCAGTCTAAAAAAACTTGTTAACCTCTATACAACCTACCTTCTCTATTTTTGTGTTGTGCCATGGAGGTATTTTAATGTTGGTGATATACGAGTATTAAGAGAACAGTAGCAAGTGAGATACAAAACCTATTAAGACTCTGTTCTACCTCCGATGCCCAATCCATATGGATTTGCGAAATTAGAGTTTCCTTAAGCTACATTCAACATAGAAAAAAAAATTGGTTTTAATAGGACAAATGCATCAATTGTATAAAATGAATAACTTTTGGACAGATAACGATTTGAAAAATATATTTTACAAAGATGTTGTGAGGTCTTAGAAAAACTGTAGAAAATGGAAAAACAACCAGTAACATTTATTTGTTATTACCTCATTGTTTTAAAAAGATTGAAAGTAAAATTAGATCTAGAAACCAATGTCCAACATTTAATTTTAAGTTCTGCCAATTATAACTTCGGGGACTGAAAAATTAATAAAAAATGTGAGTTAATGCTAAAATTTACATTGAGGCCCACTTTAAGCTGTAAATCCACACTTTCAGTTAAGCAGACAGGTCTCTAGATACAAAAAGGACTGTTGCGTCGTTGGAAATCTCATCCAAAGACAAAAGGTATTTAAAAATAACAATCGTTGATTCCAAATGAATTTATAACTAAAACTTGACACAAAACCACTACAACTCTTTCAGATACACACTGAGTGCTTCGCAAACACTATACACATTAACGATTTATCATAGAGGTAGAGCGTAGCCTTGGTAACACAATTTACAGCTAAAGAAAGCAGAAGAAAAATCGGAAAGCAGAAGAAGAATGTTAGAGAAAGTGTTAGAGCGTGGCACACACACCAGAAGAATATGAGGTAGCTCCAGACTCACACATGGGCTTGAGTTGTGAAACCAACTCCTCCTTCGTCCACTCCTTCTTGTCTCCCCAGAGAGCCAGGGAGGGGGTGATGACAGCCAGCTTGTTGTCATCAGGGTACGGCACATTGAGGTAGTGCACCAGCACAATGTCAGGGTTCTGCCACAAAACATGAAAATGTACTGTAGTATGTATGATGGAACATGTCTCCTGGACGAACATCTACCTGCTTGTTGTCATCAGGGTACGGCACATTGAGGTAGTGCACCAGCACAATGTCAGGGTTCTGCGACAAAACATGGAAATGTACTGTAGTCTGTATGATGGAACATGTCTCTTGGACCTACATCTACCTGCTTGTTGTCATCAGGGTACGGCACATTGAGGTAGTGTACCAGCACGATGTCAGGGTTCTGCGACAAAACATAAAATGTACTGTAGTCTGTATGATGGAACATGTCTCCTGGACCTACATCTACCTGCTTGTTGTCATCAGGGTACGGCACATTGAGGTAGTGTACCAGCACGATGTCAGGGTTCTGCGACAAAACATGAAATGTACTGTAGTCTGTATGATGGAACATGTCTCCTGGACCTACATCTACCTGCTTGTTGTCATCAGGGTACGGCACATTGAGATAGTGCACCAGCACAATGTCAGGGTTCTGCGACAAAACATGAAATGTATTGTAGTCTGTATGATGGAACATGTCTCCTGGACCTACATCTACCTGCTTGTTGTCATCAGGGTACGGCACATTGAGGTAGTGCACCAGCACGATGTCAGGGTTCTGCGACAAAACATGAAAATGTACTATAGTCTGTATGATGGAACATGTCTCCTGGACCTACATCTACCTGCTTGTTGTCATCAGGGTACGGCACATTGAGGTAGTGCACCAGCACAATGTCAGGGTTCTGTGACAAAACATGAAAATGTACTATAGTCTGTATGATGGAACATGTCTCCTGGACCTACATCTACCTGCTTGTTGTCATCAGGGTACGGCACATTGAGGTAGTGCACCAGCACGATGTCAGGGTTCTGCGACAAAACATGAAAATGTACTGTAGTCTGTACGATGGAACATGTCTCCTGGACCTACATCTACCTGCCTGTTGTCATCAGGGTACGGCACATTGAGGTAGTGCACCAGCACAATGTCAGGGTTCTGCGACAAAACATGAAAATGTACTGTAGTCTGTATGATGGAACATGTCTCCTGGACCAACATCTACCTGCTTGTTGTCATCAGGGTACGGCACATTGAGGTAGTGCACCAGCACAATGTCAGGGTTCTGCGACAAAACATGAAAATGTACTGTAGTCTGTATGATGGAACATGTCTCCTGGACCAACATCTACCTGCTTGTTGTCATCAGGGTACGGCACATTGAAGTAGTGCACCAGCACAATGTCAGGGTTCTGTGACAAAACATGAAAATGTACTGTAGTCTGTATGATGGAACATGTCTCCTGGACCTACATCTACCTGCCTGTTGTCATCAGGGTACGGCACATCGAGGTAGTGCACCAGCACAATGTCAGGGTTCTGCGACAAAACATGAAAATGTACTGTAGTCTGTATGATGGAACATGTCTCCTGGACCAACATCTACCTGCCTGTTGTCATCAGGGTACGGCACATTGAGGTAGTGCACCAGCACAATGTCAGGGTTCTGTGACAAAACATGAAAATGTACTGTAGTCTGTATGATGGAACATGTCTCCTGGACCTACATCTACCTGCCTGTTGTCATCAGGGTACGGCACATCGAGGTAGTGCACCAGCACAATGTCAGGGTTCTGTGACAAAACATGAAAATGTACTGTAGTCTGTATGATGGAACATGTCTCCTGGACCAACATCTACCTGCCTGTTGTCATCAGGGTACGGCACATTGAGGTAGTGCACCAGCACAATGTCAGGGTTCTGTGACAAAACATGAAAATGTACTGTAGTCTGTATGATGGAACATGTCTCCTGGACCTACATCTACCTGCCTGTTGTCATCAGGGTACGGCACATTGAGGTAGTGCACCAGCACAATGTCAGGGTTCTGCGACAAAACATGAAAATGTACTGTAGTCTGTATGATGGAACATGTCTCCTGGACCTACATCTACCTACTTGTTGTCATCAGGGTACGGCACATTGAAGTAGTGCACCAGCACAATGTCAGGGTTCTGTGACAAAACATGAAAATGTACTGTAGTCTGTATGATGGAACATGTCTCCTGGACCTACATCTACCTACTTGTTGTCATCAGGGTACGGCACATTGAAGTAGTGCACCAGCACAATGTCAGGGTTCTGTGACAAAACATGAAAATGTACTGTAGTCTGTATGATGGAACATGTCTCCTGGACCTACATCTACCTACTTGTTGTCATCAGGGTACGGCACATTGAAGTAGTGCACCAGCACAATGTCAGGGTTCTGTGACAAAACATGAAAATGTACTGTAGTCTGTATGATGGAACATGTCTCCTGGACCAACATCTACCTACTTGTTGTCATCAGGGTACGGCACATTGAGGTAGTGCACCAGCACAATGTCAGGGTTCTGTGACAAAACATGAAAATGTACTGTAGTCTGTATGATGGAACATGTCTCCTGGACCTACATCTACCTACTTGTTGTCATCAGGGTACGGCACATTGAAGTAGTGCACCAGCACAATGTCAGGGTTCTGTGACAAAACATGAAAATGTACTGTAGTCTGTGTGATGGAACATGTCTCCTGGACCAACATCTACCTCGGCGGGGAGCGAGCTGGTTAGTGATTAGAGCGCGGGACTGCGGTTCCTAAAATCCTGGGTTCAAATCCCGCCATATCACCAATGGATTTTATCTAAGTGATAATGCCACAACCCCTACGTCTAGCCTGAAGTAATGTTAAAAACAATTCCAGCCTCGTGCCTAGCGTCCTAGGAAAAAAAACATCTACCTCGGAATGACCCGGGCCTTTTAGCCATTGGCCAGTCTCCAGGTAGACGGGGGGGGGCAGAAGCCAGGTTGCACCATACAGAGTATAATACACAGAGAGCCAGGGTGGAGGGATCAGCTGGAGCTAATTTTTAAATTCAAAAAGAACCTAGTTCAATGATCCACTAATCGATTAATCTACTGTTAAAATTCAATTTCCCTTGTTTATTTTTCTTTTGGTGGAGTAGTATAGGCCTAAAATAACAGATGCTGTAGTGTACAATAAGGCTTCCTATCTATTGTCATGGTAAAATAGTTGGCGTACTCAACAGAAATTGTTAATTTACATTAGAGCACTCTTATCAATAGTTCATAAAAATACGTTCATTTTTATTATAAACCTGGCGATTACTCTTAAAAGGGAATGGAATGTCTTGTTCATCCATGGTCAAAGGTTCTACACTACGATTGCCGATGTCTTAACTTTGTGATTTACTCTTCACCAGTGGTATCATGAGTAATACAACATGTGGTAAAAAGTCAATGACAAAAACACCAAGTTTATCCAAACGAAAAAAATCACAATATCTTACCATCATACAATTTACCCTTTTATAAGTGGTGTTCAATCAAATGAATAATGTGTTTTTTTATTAACTAAATAATCCAACAAAATAAAGATTTTAATTTTACATCAGACAGTAAATTCAGACATCAGGCGGTATTAAGCTATTTATGACTTAACTAATTGTTATACTGTATATTGTTTTCGTCCTCCTACTGACTCTAACCTAAAAATATACAAATTGAGGGGTTTATAGACTAACCTGTTTAGTTGGTATGACACAACTAAGGTCTTTTTACTTGCCCCATCATATAATAGTTTTTTTTCTTTCTCAAAACCAATAAAACTCACGTACCATAGAAATAAACAAAGACCAGCATTTGTAATAGTACCTCAGAAAACCTATCTACTAACATCACATTGTAGATGATTTGTTTGTATTATACTTGTGAACAATACTTTTTACAACACAGATTACCAGAATATAGTAATCATAAAATGTCTGTCTTATCGCGTGAGTGCGTATGGTGATGTAAAGGCGAGGGCTCAGACATTATAAAACATATATTCAACTTTTTACTGTTCTTGAATACATTTCTTCGGACATTATTCCGCCAAATAAGTGTTGGATTTATTCCGAGGTACTTCGCTTTTTATTGCACACACCTCCAGAGGCGAGAGAACAGTCTGTTATGATTTGACCAAGTCATGCAACGTGAGCTACGACTCTGCCTCTCCCCGGATATGGAAATGACGGTGGCACCAGAAATGACTGTTTAGTATGTAATTTTACTACCATGATGTCTCGGAATAATAATTTTCAAAGATTTGTGGCATTCAAATGGTTAAAAAATACTATTCCAAGAGGAGTGGTAGGACTATATAATGAGAATTTGAGTAATGTATCGACATTTAAAAATATCTGGTGCAATGAAACGTAATAAAATATTAATCTGTCCTATATTTGTACTTAAGCTGCAAAAAGTATTATTTGGGGTACTTTAAAAACCCTTTGACATGTCAGATGTAGACTAATCAAAAGCCGGCCTATTTATCTACAAAATTCAAGTTACAGTTAAAATCATTTCTGGGAAAATCGAAAAAAGAATGAATAAAGCAATTCTAATTATTTATTTTGCATAGTATTTTAGGTTAACAAACTAACTATTGATAAAGTTAATATGTTCTGAAAGAATATTCTAGATATACAAGAAATATAATTCTTGTATGTGAAATACAGACAAAATGTCACAGAAAAGTTTAATTTAAATTCTGTCGATTGTTTAAAAAGTGATCCCAATGAATATCTATACTTATGTAGACTTTACTAAACAGACTTAACATAAAAACCGAAGAATGGTTCTGTAATCTTTGTAAATTTAATTCATTGCTAGCATTATTCAATGTAACATTTTTAGATTCATTCTTTGAACATAATATCTTGAATCATTTTTAACTGTTTACCAAGATAAATAAGATTTAAACAAACAGTCTACATATAATTCAAAACGTCACTGAATTCAGGAATTTTACTACACTGTATTAAATTCTCTATTAAATAAGTTTATTATCACATTTTCCTTTAGAGCTATTTATTATGGTTCATTCGCAGGGATAATTTTCAGACACGAATAAGTTAAATATTATCTACCAAAAAAATATTTAAACATATAAGATGTATTAAGGAGCATAAAAAACGATAGTCCAATGATCATTACCTGTAACAGCCAATAGCAGCGACGATGGAAAGTGGGGAGGATAGCAGAGTGGACGTAACAGCCATAGATACACTGAAACATAAAATATATATTTAATTTACATAATCACAATTTATCAAGAAGTTAGTTCACAAATCTGCAGGTAAAATTACAAGAACTAGACATTATAAATCGATCTTTAAATACAAACATAAAAATATACTGTAATGGGATCAGGGTACCAGTTCACCATGGTTTGTAAGATTCAATTCTGAAATCTTACGTTGCTCGTCTTCGCTGCTATCCGTAGGCTAGGTAGGCGCATGAAGACATTGCAATTAATACAACATTATTCAATAAAAGAGAACAGGTGTAAATTTGAAGAAATAAAAACATCAATCATTGTGAAATCTTAACCGCAACAAAAAAGGGATAAACAAGCCTAACCCTTACAAGGGTCAAGAATACAACGCGTTTTAGTGCTCCATGAAAAATAAAATAAATTCTGATTAAATTACAATAAAATTACAAATGCAATAGTTTTTTTTATAGTTTGAGACTGGTCCAGCCTTGATCGTCACTAGGAAGAATAATTAATCCATGATTGAAATAAGTCCTTTTTGCTAGGATAATACAAGCTGATAGTTTCGTAAGTGTTTACACTCATTAATAAAAAACTTGTCTGCCTCTTGAATGATTTCATCTTGCACGTAACATATCAGTTTACACAGATACCACAGTGTTGAATATGTATGAAGTAGTGTGATTAACATCTAACCCTTGACTTCTACAACCGCTCACGTATGTTGCACATCACTATAATAGTACAAAGACAATTACTGTGTAGCAAAACTACACAGGGAATCTATAAGGCTTGACTCAATATAATAATGTTTAACTCTTTTTATTGATAAGATATACACCGTGTCTTAAAAAGAATGGATCATATCTACAGCTTATTATACGTGTTAACAGAGGTCCTAGAAAAGTCAACTATGGCTAATTTTAAATCTGATATCTTAGAGTTTCTTTCGGTACCCTTCAACAGAAATCAGCTGTTCCATTGTTGTAGCCTGTTTGAATTTTTTAAACATTAAGCTGCAATATATTAAATGGAGTTGCAGTTGAAAGCACAGTGTATTGAATGGTTTAAAATCTGTGGCGTGATTTCTTAAGGTCTTGAGGTTTGTGAAAGATCAAGAGGGAGGGGTTTTTATCGCTCATTCGTCCCAATTATAGATCAATTTAAAGCAAAGATAAGCGAAGTCTTTGGAAAAAATACACCACAATGTGCAGTCAGAGCTGGAAAATTTACTTGACTTTCTTTGACTAAATAGCGAAGAACATGAAGAGATTAGGCGGTGAAACAAGGGTAGAAAAAACTTATGAAGTTAAGGAAAAAGGTGTATATAAAGTAAACTTTTATTCTTTAATAATAAAGTATTTATGCAAGCTGACTTTTGATCCATTCTTTTTGGGACACCCGGTATTTACTAGTTTTTGGGATGTCTATTTTTAATACAGTATTTAGGAGAGCTACTGACTATATTTTTTATTCTGATGGCCCAAGTTCAAAACCCAGCGATCACGAATTACAATTAGTAGTTTGATTATTTAGCATCGCTGTAGTTCAAGGACCACATTAGCTGTATGTCTACTTATCTAGAAAAATTTGATTCTCAGGTAAACAGAACTTAAAACTTATCTTTTGAGGGTTATACTACTTTACCTCAAAATTATTCGTATAGTAAAACATGCTTCAGTGAATTGATTCAAGTGACCACTAAATATCAGTTCGGTCTCCTGTAGTAAGTATGAATGAGGTGACACACACTCAGAGGTAGACTTGTATAATAAGCCACTCACATGACAATGAATGAAGTCTCCCCCTTCACAACAACATTGCCATTGTGTCAAGAATCTTGTCATCTTTCTACTACCCTTGACTAGAGATACACTGACGCCAAGATGCATGCCATTTCTACATTACAGGTGTTGTATTATAACAATTTAAGTTTACTTAAACCACCGATAGTAAGCTGCTGCAACATACTGTTTTATCTCTATCCTCAACCTTTTGACTATGTGAAACTGGCAGGAAAACTTTAGAAGTTTGGTTGTTTTTCTAACAATTGTAGTATATGGATAATCAAGTTATTTTACTCTAAGAGTAAAACTGAATAAATATAGTGTATTGCAACAAAAAATATAATACTGGATTACTATATTATAATAGCTGGGAGGGACGTGAAATATATTTCAGATGATAATAATCTTCTCTTTCAGTTTTGCCAGTTATATAAGTAGGTATTGATTAAATAAATCGGTATTTTTTACTAGCACATTATGTCAGTTGCTCAATGGATCTAAGTTCATTTTTACTATAGGCCCTAACTAGTTACAAATTTAATCGTAGGAATGGAATTCATACTTTCCAATGGTGCAAATCTTACAGTCAAAGGTAGGACATGACAATTTACATAATGTTTTACGGAGGAAACAAGTGTTATGACTAAAGAAGTAATTTGGCCTAAAAATTACCCTCAATCGTTTTCTTGACATGAATTTTAAAACTGTCTTCAGCTGATCAATTACAAAAGGAGGAAACTATAAGGAGGAATCGATGACTTTGAATATTAAAAGAAGACATATCATTATAGTATTGGTGTGTATTTAGTGTTGGTAAAGCTAAAAGCTACAGTTTAAATAGTTTTAAAGTCTGTATAACAACTAGAACCCAATTGTAAAAAAAAAAAAAAAAACGCTCAAAACATAAATCGTACACAACTAATCTTATATTGTCTTCAACTGATCTATAAGGTCGACAAATTTATAAGGGAGCATGTGTAACCTAAGGTTGTATAAAAAAACGCTGCAATATTACAGTGCCATTCAATACTAAGCTTTAGTGATTTTTTTACTTCACAAAACCACATTTCAATCCATAAATCACATCCCACATATTGATCCTTTAGCAATCGTGAAGTAACACAGGATAAGTATAAAGATTTGATCAATAGGCACATGCACTGCTCAACCCCCTCTGTTGCATACTATTTGTACATTAAGAACGTGGAATAAAACTCTAATACTAGTTAACGTGCATTTTAATGGCGGCAGTAAAATGTAATGGGGTTTCTTTGAGTTAACACGCCAAGAGGTTGGACCATTGAGTATAGTGGAACGCTAGATGTAAGAGTCTAGTGTGCTTAATTAATGCAACTATGCAACACTACTCTTTAGCAACTACTTTTATGTGTTCCATGAATGAAGTATGAATGTGGTGATGTTTTATTGTGAAAATTTGAAACGATGATACAATCTTTGGGGGTAAAAGAAGTCCTCACATAGTATTAATTTCAATAAGTTTCAATGTTATTATGATCCGTAATACTTTTAAGCGAGGGTTAACATTAGGAATTATTGATGTTGATAAGTTTCTAATTTATCTTTAACAATGTTTCGAATAATATAGGCCTACATATTCCACATTTCATTCCACGATCATTTCGACTCAGGTTAAAGTACACAAAATAGGGTTTCAGCCATAATATAATCATAGTAATTAAAGCTAAATATAATAAGATCACCATTTTTTTTTCAAAATAATTTATGGCAAAAGAATAGCAACCTGATTAGCTTAGCCTTATTCTACCTCATTTTACAACTAAAATTCATGATACTTCAGCTAATTTTTATTCGATCTTTTTGAACTTGGTGCCGTTTGATAGAACATTTTAAATGCAGAATAAAAGTGTCTATGATATCTTATCATAAATTCAGCCATTTTATACAAGTTTAAATTATTAAAATTACAATGGCAAAAACTTTTAATTGGACCAAGCTATATTTTTCGAACATAGTTCCTTCTCTTTTAACATACATACCAAGTTTCATAAAGACCAATTTTAACAATTCAAAGATAAAAATGTTTATGTACAAAATACGAAATTGAAGATATCTGGGGAACAAAGCGATTTTGGAAAACTCTTATTCTTGATTTTTCTCGTTATATTGACTCGTAGAACTATCCACGGAGTTTGGCTTTGCACGGAGTTCGTTTGTTACAGATTCGGAGTTTAATTCATGCATGTATTATTTTTTACTTGGTACTAACAGTTTAACTCAGTTTATGTTCATTCGAAGTAAAATCTTAAATACATATAAATTCTTTCAAAACACTTTGAAATAAATAAAAATCATATCAGAACAATTATTCATTTGGTTGACCTATAACAGTTTGGGAACGACCAAAGTATTAATACTCAACCAAGACAACAAACGCATCCGTTGAACACATCTCGCTTATACTCTTACAGTTTAGCTGATTGTAGTTCTCACGTTGTTTTCATCTGATTAAAGCTCTAATTTCCCTTTGATGGTAACTTGTTACCATCTTGTTACTGTTATTGTTGCTGTTTGCCGGATACCACTGTCTTGTTATCACAATTGCTGTTTTGTCAAGAACCCCCATCCCCTTGGTTAATGTTTATTCGTTTTTGAGTGCAATTATTTTTATCTCTCTCAACGTTGAGAAGGGTACGTTATTACTCCTAGTTTTAGATACTGCAAGCAGCCTCCTTATCTGGCAAAATCTGAAGTTTTGACGAGTGAAAACTCTATATACTGTATAGAGTTAGGATATTGCGTTTTAAGGAGTGTCCTTTTGTATGGTACAATTATAGGGATTTTTTCTACTAATTAGTCCTTGTTAATTTGTCTTCATAAAGACATAACTTATACCACAAACATAATTGGTTGACAAAATATTGTCAAACCTATGTTGAAACATAAAGTTTAAAGAGGTTATTTATCCTACTGACTATAATGACGTATTGATGCATTGAAAAATCCTGACAGAACATTAATGAATTAATTACAATGTGTCTAACCACAGGAATTTACAATTTCAACACAACGTTATCACACAAATTAGCAAAATTTCACCATCAATATTAATTTCTAATTTTTTCAACGAATTCGTCCCTAAACAAAGAGTCCATTATCGCGTAAACTTATAACAAGATTTCTACAAGACACGCGTTTCGAGGACAAATTGACTTTTCTCGAGGACAAAGAAGTTTTCTTGTCGG